TACCTTCATCCTAATCCTATACGACCCTCAGTGTATAAAGTCTGTTGCCGCTAATACACTTCGGCAATTGATCATCAGTCAGTAGTCCACATCGGCTCCGTGCACCAAGTCCACCTCTGCGGGACAGTGACAAGCAGCATGTTATTTAACCTCATGGTGGTGTTAATTTCTTTTTTCTCCCTGATGTTGATTTTGTTTTGTGGCTCTTCATTTCAGGGGATGTATAGTAATTGTGTAATAGAGACTGTCCTATCTAGTAACATGTCATTTAGTTTCATGGCATTGTAAATTTCTGTTTTTCTTCCTAGTGTTGATTTTGTTATGACTTTTCATTTGAAGGGATGAACAGGAGCTGTGAAATGGAGACTAACATATCTAGACGTGAGGATACAGTGTAGTATGCATTTCTACTTCCAGACAAAGATGGACTTACAGTGAAGCTGCTTACTATATGTTGACAATAGGATGCTGGACTCTGCCATTGTCCATGCCCGCAGCGATGGACATATGACTGTGTATGAAGAACTAAACCTTAGTATTGATATAGAGGGAACTAAGCGGGGGGAGGGGGGACTTGGGGCTGGGATAAGGGAAATACCAGGAGCCTAAGGAACTGTATCATAAAATGATAATAAACAATAAAAATAATAAAAAGATAAAAATATCAGTATAGGGAAGTGTGGTTAAAACCACACTTTTCAAAAGAATTTGTGGTCTGAATTTGTGAGTTACTGAACCCATGTTGTTTGCACAGAAGCCTTGTAGCTGCCACTGGCGGTTGACCGTCAGCCCAGACTGGGGGTGCAGGACTGGAAACAGCACTGCTCTGCCTTTGGAGTTTTTTGGGGTTGGGGCTTTGCTCTTCTTCCCCCCACCCCCGATTTATATTGGATTAAGCTGATATGATCAAGCTTTTTTTATTTGACATTTCTCACAAATCTGAAACCCCAGAGCAGTTATGCGTAAGGGTTATTTGCCTTGCCCCTTGCCTCGGGCATCTTTGCACTTACTGCCTGGATCACAGATGGGAGCTAGGCTGCCCCGTTCCTGCCCTGGCCACATGTCCCCTCACCTTCCCCTTCCTCTTCCTCTGGTGCCGAGAGGTCAGAGCCCGCCGCCATGTGGCAGCACATACAGAACAGTGCTGTGTCACCCTGGAAGCCCCTGCTTTGTGCCCCACAATGGCCTTGGGCATGTCTGGGCTGTTCCTGCGGATGGATGAGGGCGTGCATCCTCCTGTGCGTGGGAAGAGCGCCTCAGGATTATCAGTTACACAGGGACTGCATCTGCTTGTTCACCCCTTAGGTGGCCACAGTGACCAGGGCTGTGTCAGGTTAACAGCTTCATCCAGCTCTCCCACAAGGGTGGCAGTACCCACACACTTGGGCCATCTTCTCTGTTGGCCAGGCTGTGACTTCGCTGGCAGGGCTGGCTGGGAAGCGGAGACACGGGCGGGACACCAGTCAGCACCTGTTTCACATCCCAGCATGGCAGGAGGCAGTCTACTTGCTGTACCACAACAGCAACTCCAGGGATACTTTCAATACCCTTGATATGTCTTTTTAAGATTTATGTATTTTTATTACAAAGTCAGATAGAGAGGAGGAGAGACAGGAAGATCTTCCGTCCGCTGATTCACTCCCCAAGTGAGCAACAGCCGGTGCCGCGCCGATCCGGAGCCAAACCCAGAAACCTCCTCCAGGTCTCCCACGCGGGTGCAGGGTCCCAAGGCTTTGGGCGCCATAGACTGCTTTCCCAGCCCACTGTGCAGGGAGCTGGATGGGAAGAGGAGCTGTCAGGATTAGAACTGGCGACCATATGGCATTCTGGTGTGCTTAAGGTGAGGACTTTAGCCACTAGGCCGCGGCGGTGGGTCCAAATACCCTTTATATCTCCTAGTTTTCTGTGTTGCCTAAGGAACGTTCTAAAGCTTTCTTCAGACTTGGCATAGATTCTTGATCATACTTATGAGTATCCTGGTGTTTGCCACCTGGCATGTGGAGTGAATACATTGTTCCAGACCTTCGCCTGCCAAGGCCTCCACGTATCTCCTTGGTCTGTCGGTGTGACTGGCAGTGCAGGGAAATGCTGGTTTCTTTTGTAAACGTTCACAGTACGTTCAGATCGGGGTGTGTGCATACGGGTCCTGATATGGATAATAATGTGTGCTTAACCCAGAGTTCTTACAGGCTGAACTGGGGTATGCCGGGACTTGGGGGACACACCATGGCAGGCTGGGCCACAGCACCTGTGGGGAACTTGGGCTGAGCTAGGCCACAGTACCTAGGGGTGCACACGAGAGCTGGACCACAGCGCACACAGGCATGTATAAAAGCTGTGACTGGGAGCAGGCCTGGTAAGGGTGTCGGTGTGTTCCCCGACTTGGCTGCATCCCCTCCCAGTGTGTGTGAGGACTGGGCCTGAGTCAGGTTCCTCTGGGCTGGGGTGGAGCTGACCGGGCAGCTACATCCAGTGCCGTGTGTGTCGGCTGTTGCAGGGAACACACTGGGCCTGATGATGCACTAGCTGTTGCACACAGGAGGCAAGTCAGGTCACCCAGGTGAGGCTTCTTGGGGGCTCCCCAACTAGACCGCTGGGCTCCAGCTCTGGTCCTCGGGAGCAAGCTTGTGGTCTGACCTTGGAGTGCAAGGCTCTGGACTGGGCCTTCTCAGTTCCTGATCATCCTGCCAGGGAGAACAGGCCCAGGTGCTCTGACCTGCGGCCGAGATGCCAGCAGTGTCAGCACCATCAGGACCACTTCAGCAGCACCCTCGGGCCCACTTGGGGGCTGTACGGCGACATCGGGTGACTCTTCACCCCCAGGAGCTGATGTAGCATGACAGCGAGGAACGGCCCCTCGCCATCGTCCGCTTTGTGGACGCAGCAGGGAGGGAAAAGAAATCCAAGATGGCTGTGTCCTTCCCATTCCTCCACAGCTCGGCCCTCCCTTCCCAGTCAGACGCTGCAGGGGAGGCGTGCGTCCCTCAACTGCTCTAAGTCTTACTTGAAAATTTGGAAAGATTTCTACATGACTTTCACGACTTCCTTCCTTGATCATGCGAGCCTGCTTAGATCAGACACGGTGAGGGTCCCACTGGGCACGGCTGCCAGGGGAGGCCCTGAGCCAGACCTGTGCCTGCAGTGGGGGGCTGCCGGGGGATGCCCTGAGCCAGACCTGTGCCTGCAGTGGGGGCTGCCGGGGGAGGCCCTGTACCGGACCTGTGCCTGCAGTGGGGGGCTGCTGGGGGAGGCCCTGAGCCAGACCTGTGCCTGCAGTGGGGGCTGCCGGGGGAGGCCCTGTACCGGACCTGTGCCTGCAGTGGGGGGCTGCTGGGGGAGGCCCTGAGCCAGACCTGTGCCTGCAGTGGGGGCTGCCGGGGGAGGCCCTGTACCGGACCTGTGCCTGCAGTGGGGGCTGCCGGGGGAGGCCCTGAGCCAGACCTGTGCCTGCAGTGGGGGCTGCCGGGGGAGGCCCTGAGCCAGACCTGTGCCTGCAGTGGGGGGCTGCCGGGGGAGGCCCTGAGCCAGACCTGTGCCTGCAGTGGGGGGCTGCCGGGGGAGGCCCTGTACCGGACCTGTGCCTGCAGTGGGGGCTGCCGGGGGAGGCCCTGTACGGACCTGTGCTGCAGTGGGGGCTGCCGGGGAGGCCTGAGCCAGACTGTGCCTGCAGTGGGGGCTGCCGGGGAGGCCCTGTACCGGACCTGTGCCTGCAGTGGGGGCTGCCGGGGGAGGCCCTGAGCCAGACCTGTGCCTGCAGTGGGGGGCTGCCGGGGGAGGCCCTGAGCCAGACCTGTGCCTGCAGTGGGGGGCTGCCGGGGGAGGCCCTGTACCGGACCTGTGCCTGCAGTGGGGGCTGCCGGGGGAGGCCCTGAGCCAGACCTGTGCCTGCAGTGGGGGGCTGCCGGGGGAGGCCCTGAGCCAGACCTGTGCCTGCAGTGGGGGCTGCCGGGGGAGGCCCTGAACCAGACCTGTGCCTGCAGTGGGGGGCTGCCGGGGGATGCCCTGAGCCAGACCTGTGCCTGCAGTGGGGGGCTGCCGGGAAAGCACTGTACCAGACCTGTGCCTTTACACTGCAGCAATGGATGTTTGTGACAAATAGAGCTGACGCCTGAGTGATTTGCTAGATGCTGTCCAGTGTCACTGGTGGTCACAAGTGACCTTTGATATGGTCCTTCAGTGGCCTGTTTAAGACCCCAGACCATGTTCCGCCTGGCACAAGTGAGTGTGCACTTTCCATTTGAAGAGAGTAAACGTCAAGTTCCCTTTGTTCACGAACTGTGGGGCTGAAGTGGAGGAGAGTAAAGGTGTGTGTGTGTGACACAGAACAGCGTGGGTCTTAACCAGATTTTGACCTCACTTACAGACGTGCTGTCAGAGACTAATAGTGTTGGTTCCTCTGTGTCCTGCAGTTTCCAGGGCTTGCTGCTTGCCCCATTGCTTGAAGCTGAACGTGTTGGTTAAGAGTGGACTGCTTTCTGGGCCTGCCGCAGTAGCCTAGTGGCAAACGTCCTCGTTTTACATGCTCCAGGATCCCATATGAGTGCCAGTTCCAATCTGAGCGGCCCTGCTTGCCATCCAGCTCCCTGCTTGTAGCCTGGGAAAGCAGTTGAAGACGGCCCAAGGCCTTGGGACCCTGTACCCGCATGGGAGACCTGGAGAAAGCTCCTGGCTCCTGGCTTCGGATTGGCACAGCTCCGGCTGCTGCAGCCACTTGGAGAGCGAATCATTGGACAGAAGATCTTCCTCTCTGTCTTTCATGCTCTCTCTATATTTGACTTTCTAATAAAAATAAATAAATCTTTAAAAATAAAGTGGGCTTTCTTCCTTGCTGAACTGCAAAACCATATTTTTATTAATATAAGTTTTCTTTTTCTGAGAAGGAAACGTATTCTGCCAACGTTGCTCATTGTGAAAGGGTCGGACTGTGAGATTTCCTTTGAATTTGTAAAAATTAATGTGTGAAGTTGAAATTCATGAAGGATTCTCTGTGTTTTGTTTAGACCAGCATGTTTTGGAAGTTTGACCTTCACTCATCATCTCACATAGACACACTCCTGGAGAGGGCCGATGTCACGCTGAGGGAGCTGATGGACGAGGAAGATGTCCTACAGGAGTGCAAGGCTCAGAACCGCAAGCTGATTGAGTTCCTGCTGAAGGCGGAATGTCTCCAGGAGTTAGTCTCGTTCATTATAGAAGAACCACCTCAGGACATGGATGAGAAGATCAGATACAAGTAAGGAAATCAGCCTTCTCTTTGATAAGGTGGGGGTGGAATAGGATTGCTCAGTGCGGCCGTCGCCGGCGACAGACGGTCCGGCGACCACAGCACCCAGCCCTGCACGGCTCACAGTCCCCCTGGAACAGAGTCAGCACGTCCCAGGAGTTTCCTAGCGAGCGTCCTGATGGTTTGTGGAATGGCAGTGTTTTATAAACAGTGGTTGGGTTTCTTAAAATAGTAAGGTGGGTCAAGTAAGCATTTGCCTGACTTTGCACATGGAAGCCTGGAGATTATGTGTCTGTCCCAGGTTGCCCTGCAGACTGCTGTGAGGGGCCCTGCTGGGCGCTGGCGAGCCAGAGCGCCTGTGCCCTGGAAAGCAGGCGTGGGCCAGGGGGCACAGTAGTGTTCTCCAAGTCAAGGCAGAGAGTGCCCTGGGTACCTGTGCCACAGTTCAGGCTGCCCAGCTCAGGCTGGTGGCACAGGGAGGCTACATGTTTATTTCTAACTCCAGAAGTAGACAGCCTGCTTCCCTCACTGCTTCACTCCTCACTGGTCTCACTGGCTGCAGCGCGAGCTTGGAGTGCACACTGAGCTCAGGTGTGCCACGTGGGCAGCAGTGTCCCGCTGTTCGAACCGTCACTGCTGCCTCCCAGGGATCCACGCTGGCAGCAGGGCTCAGCCCCTGACCTTCTGGGGGTCCCCAGCAGCTTCATCACAGCCCACCACACGTGCATCTCCTGCGGTCCTGTGTGGGAAGCTGACACTGGAGGCTCCCGTGAGGACTCGGTGTGCTTGGGAAATGTCGGGTTGAATTTCCTGTGCTTCCCTCTGCTCGTGGTCTGGCTCTGTCCTCCCCCTCTCCCAGCCAACCCTGCAGCTGCAGGAAGGAAAAGCCCACCTGGTGGGCTAGGAAGGGGTAAGAAGGCTTCAGCAGTGTCTCCTGGCCCCCGTCTTTGTCCCCTTCTCAGACAGCCTTCCATTTTGTCTTAAGACTCATGCTGTCAGGGAAGGGTTCACCTTGTCAAGGGGGCCGCATAGGTCTCCGCTGTTCGCTGCGATTGACAGCTTGTCTGCAGTAGGCGCCTCCACTGCTGTCCCACCCTCCGCAAGACAGAGCCTGTGCTGCTCTGGGTCCCTCAGCAGCAGGCCAGCCCGGGGTGGGTGCTGCAAGGTGGGAAGATGCATGACTTTGTCTTAGGGCAGCTGGACCAGCAAACTCTGAGAGTGTGTTGGCTGGCGTGCTGGGTGAGACCAGTGGGTCTTCGGGGAAGAACAGGTTCTTGGCAGAAGTGCTTGCGTCCCGCATGCCGTTGTGACTCAGGCCAGGATCTGAAGCCTGGCTGTCCAGCAGTTAGATGTTGTGACAGCAGGTACCTCCAGACTTGAGGCCTGCTGCCTTATGTCATTGGGGGCCAGGGCTTGGGCTGGGCAGAGCTTGGCCGGGCCTGCAGGGCCTGCATCCCCAGCAGAGCTGGATGGCTGCGTTCATGAGACAGCCCAGTGGCAGCTTCAGCGTCTAGGGCAGCTCAGCGTTATGACAGATACAGTCACGTGAGAAAGTGGAGGGTCGGGTGTTTTAAAGATGGTGGTGTAATTGTTGTATTGAGGTGCGCCAGACTACACAGAAAACCCAGAGGTTTTCGGAGAAAGCCTTTGGGGGAAGTGAACAAGGTCAGATGCAAAGGAGTTCAGGAGAGGCCTCGCTGAGAAGGTGCTGCTCTGCTCAGAGCCATGTGTGCTGTGGGTGCTTGGCAAGAATCTCCAGGCCGTGGGGACAGTGTGTGCGGAAGTTCTGGTGTCCCCAGGGGAGGTGCAAGAAGAGGTTGAGAGGTGGCCAGAGCGCTCCTGGAGACAGCGCGTGGGCTGGGTGTGCCCAGGCACGGGGAAGCGTGCAGCAAGCCCACGCTGTGAGTGGTGAGGTAACTTTGTCTTCCAGGGTCCCCTGTGCTCTGTGGGGTGTGGCTGGACAGGTTTGCGGGGGGGGGGGGTGCCAGCAAGCTGCTGTGTTCAGGCTCCCTGGACAACATGGGCACTTGGCTGGAATGCCTTCGAGGTCTCGCTGGAGAGTCCTTCCTTGACCCAGGAACGCAAAGAGGAAATGGTAGCACGAGTCAGTGCAAGTGCGGCCGGCCTGAGTTCTCTGCATCATTTGTGCGTCTGCAGGACCAGAGTGGTGTGCTTGGAGCGTGCAGTGGGGTGCTGGCCCTTGGCATGGCACAGAGAGCAGCTGTGGGTGCCTGGGGGGCTTGTTGAAGTTGGGAGGGGGAAGGAGGGAGGGAGGAAACGGCTCTAGCTGCTCCTGCCCGGAACTCAGGCTTTTGTGTCGCACCGAGAGCCCGGCCTGCTGCTTGTTGGTCAGGTGCACATGGCACTTGGTTTACGGCGGGATTTGAATCTGTTTTTTATTAGTCCCTACTTGCCAGCAGTTTTTAAATTGAGGCATTTGAGGCAGTGTGCCCCACCCCACCCACCCAGCCTCCCAACATTTTAAAAACTACAGAAAAGGGGAGGAGCTGTGTCTCACCCCACACTTGCTTTCTCCCTGGCTTTGTCGTGGTGTTAGGGACTGAGGTGCTGACGCAGGGAGATGAAGGCATTGCCCAGGGTTGCACAGCTTAGCAGCAGCTGAGGCAAGGTTCGAACCTGGGCCCTGTGACGGTCCCATGTGAATGTTGTGGACTCATCAAGGGTGAGAGGCTGAGACGTGTACCACTGACAGCCAGCTGGATGGCACCGCGCCCTTTGTGCCCACCCCTCTGCCAGGTCCTTTGCCTTCTGCCGACAGTTTCTTTCGGGAGCACTTTTGTCCTAGTCGTGCCCTCGCCATAGATCCCTTCAGGTGCAGTGCTTTCTGTCACTTGGAACCACTTGCCTGCCTCTAGGCGTGTCACACACCTGCTGGCCTCCCTTGCTCACGTCTCTCTTATTGTCTGTCACCTCCTTTCTGGGGCTCAGCGCTCCCAGTGACCAGTGAGGTTACGGCTCCTGGCTCCCTGACAGGAACAGAGAGTCGAAGCCTCGGGTCAGGTCCCGTGTCTTCTGCATGGCCCTGGGCTTCCCGTCTGTAGTTGGCGCAGGTGAGGAGTGGTTCCTGGTGAAGGGCGTGGAGAAGGACCTGCTGCCTGTTGGTCTAGAGTGAGGTGGTCCACGCAGTGGGCCTGTTGGGCGCCAGATGGGCTGTGAAGCTGTGGGGCCTGCAGAGGAGCCCCTGGGCGCCGGGCAGGGGCTGCCCTCTTCAGGCCTGTGTCCACGCTCGTGTGCCCCTGGCTTCCTGGGAGGCTGTGTGGAGGGCACACTCTTCACCTAGAGCTTCCCACCGGAGTAGCTTCGCCCCTTCTCCCCTTATGACATACTAGGTTATATATGTTCCTGAGCTGACATGTGAACTGAAACCTGAAGAAGCCCCTGCAGCAACCCTGTGGTTCCACGCATAGCCCGTCTGAAAAGAGGGCACAGTCCTGGCTCCCTGGTGTCCCCAGGGCTGTCCTGCTGTCCTGGGCCTTGGCCTAGGCTTAGGGAAAATGTGTTCTGACCAGAGTCTGGCTTTAGAAATACATTTCAATCTAGAGGTTGAACGAAGTAGCTATGTGACTCTCTCATTCCCGGTGGATGGTTCTCGTGGAAGATGTACCGATTGTGTTGCTGTGTGTCGTGACTGTTACTGTCGATGCTGACACGAATATCCTGTTCTTGCAGGTATCCAAATCTGTCTTGTGAGTTGCTCACTTCCGACGTCTCCCAGATGAATGATAGACTGGGAGAAGATGAATCCTTGCTAATGAAATTATATAGCTTCCTCCTAAACGATCCCCCCCTCAACCCACTACTTGCCAGTTTCTTCAGCAAGGTGCTAAGTATTCTTATCAGCCGAAAACCAGAACAGGTAAATATTGCTTTCCCAAAGGTAAGTACTAGGGCTGGTGTAGACGTAGCGCTCGGAGTTTGCTTAAAGCTCAGGTTCTGTAAGAACACAGCTCCCACTTGGACAGAGTGCCTGTGGATGTGACCATGAGTGTGTCACATAGCCTCAAGTCTCACGGGCCTTGCCAGCGCACTGCAGGGAGGAGACTCCTGCTCTTAGTCCCCTGCCCCGCCCTGTTGTTGAAGCGAGGGCTGTAACCCAGACTCCAGGTTCTGCGCCTGTGGCCACAGGGCTGCCTGGTCTCCTCCTGATGGGCGCAGTTGAAGCATTGACCCGGAAGCTTTCCCAAAGGGCAGGTTTTGATTGTTGGGCCATGTCCTCTGCCCTGCTCCTCTCCTTCTTCCTCACTTTCACCTTGCTTTGGTTTGTGAGTTCAGGTGCTCACAGGGAATCCTGGGCATGCTGCTGGTATGGTCCTGTGCCCACAGTGTTTCTGGCCTCTGAGACTTACTGGAAATGCAAGCCTTGAAGTCCCTCCCATACCTACTGAGTCACACACTGGCTGTGGGCCCCAGCAGGCTGGGTTTTTTTGTTTAGCAAATCTTCCAGCTGACTCAGATGTGTGCTAAAACTTGAGAACTGCTGCACTAGCGGGTATGCATATGAGAAAGGATCTGCTTACAGGACTCTGTTTATGGAAGTGGGCACGCAGGGAGCTGCTCTGGGCAGAGCTGCCCAGGCAGGACCCTGGTGCTTTGGGTGACACTGGTCAAACCAGTTGGGTCTGGTGGCTTCAGGAGCGGACAGGCCCTTGCACACTGTCCTGGCGTGTGCCCAGGCCTAGTGAGCATGTGTTGTGAGGAAAACGTTGGTGTTTTCTTTACTCTGGTGAAGATAACCTTCCTAATGAGTGTGTTGGAAAGCGGTTCTTCAACTTGGGAAGCCGTCCCCCAGGAGGGTTCCCCCGTGCGGGTGGTCTGCTTCTCCGGTCTTCTGGACGCTGCTTCCGGAGAGCGTGAGTGTCAGTCCCCTCACCTGGAAGCCGCCAGGGTGTCTGCAAAGGGGCTTGCAGCTTGTAGCCAGGCACTGTGCTTTGCCATTTCTTCCTTGGAACCCAAACTTGCAAGCTGTGATATTCAGTGCACCAATTCTAAAGAGCGAGAGTACACTTAAAACTTTTGGGGTCTCTGAATATTTATGTTAGATCTCAAAGTCAGCCCTGTGACAGCCGTGCCAGTTCCACAGGCCTGTCGTATTTGTCGCCTGGTGCCAGGGCAGTGGTGGGCTGTGACGGCCCGGGCGCTTAGAGCTGTAGTGAAAGGGGAGGCCCGGCAACTGTCTGTCCTTTGACAATTATGAGTGTGAGCAATATCAAGATGCATGATAATGTTAGTTGGGATGTATGCTACCTTAAGTAATCAGAAAAACTCAGGCTCGACTGGCTTAACCAGTGAAGCCGTTTCTTAGCTTACCCAGCAGGAAGTCCAGCAGTTAGGTGCCTTCTGTGTTATGTGGCTTAGCACCTCAGCCATGCCTTCTGGGGAGCAGGTCGTTGTCCTTGCTGTACTCCACAGAGCTGCGCTCGGCTCCATCGGTGGATCTGCCCCCGACTTGTGCAGTGCTGGATCACGTGTCACTCTCTTGTCCTTTAGCGTGGGCCTCAGTGTAAGTTCCTAAAGGTTCACACCACAGTGCTGGGCGCCAGAGTCTGGCGAGGAGATGTGGTTAACCTGAATACCTCTGGCTGTTAGACTCTTCTGTGTGGGGTTATGGCAGGCCGTGGCTGGTGCTGCATACAGATTTAAGTTGATATTCCAAAGCAGCCAGTTGTTTGCTCTAAACAGCCTTGGCAGCTGAGTCCTGGTTTCCTCATTTTAGAGAAGACTTATGAGAGACCCAAACACCTGTCGTGGTTGCTGCCCTGAGCAGGGCACGGGCCACTGCCAGGCTGAGCTCAGCGTCTCCGTGTTCTTCATGGGAGTGGCTGAGGATTTTCACTATGCTGTATTTACTGCATTCTAATTGTTTTAGGAACATAAACTTGAAATGGCTGTATTCTCTTGGTCTTGATAGGCGTATTTCATGTTTAATCCACATTTTATTTTTTTTATTATTATTAATTGCATTGCATTATGTGACAGAGTGTTATAGGCACTGGGATACCCCCCACCCCTCCTCGAACCCTCCCCCCGTGGTGGATTTCTCCACCTTGCTGCGTTACCACAGTTCAAATTTAGTTGAGATTCTTTCATTGGAAGTATTTACCAAGCATAAAGTCCAGCATCTTATTATCCTAGTGAGTTCAATGATTTCTTGGTGAGACCATCTCTGGTCTGAAGGTAAAGCTGGCAAAGTATCATCCCAATCAATTAAAAGTCCCAACATAGGGCCCGGCGCGGTGGCGCAAGTGGTTAAGTCCTCGCCTTGCACGCCCGGGATCCCATATGGGCGCCGGTTCTAATCCCGGCAGCCCCGCTTCCCTTCCAGCTCCCTGCCTGTGGCCTGGGAAAGCAGTCGAGGACGGCCCAAGGCTTTGGGAACCTGCACCCGTGTGGGAGACCCGGAAGAGGCTCCTGGCTTCGGATCGGCATAGTATCGGCCCGTTGCGGCTCACTTGGGGAGTGAATCATCGGACGGAAGATCTTCCTCTCTGTCTCTCCTCTCTGTATATCTGCCTTTCCAATAAAAAATAATAAAAATAAATCTTTAAAAAAAAAAAAAAAGTCCCAACATAACATCAACAACTTACAACATTATGGCATTAATTGACATGGTATTGATTAGCCAGTATGTTAATAGGAAAATGCAGATTCTTAACCACATCCTGTGACTTCTTCATAGACATTTCAATTTTGGTTTATATTCAGCCAGGTTCTATACACCTCAAAATGGCTATAGATTACTATTCAGCTGTCTCGTGTCTATTTTCATTTTAGTATTTAGCTGTTTATAGTGTTGAAGCATGAGTTTGCTGAACTTAGTTGTTTTTCGGGTGGTCTGAACTGGCTTAAAAAAATCATTGATAAAAATGAGATGGAAGATGTTGTGTGTTCTCTTAGGATCTGTGTTCTAAGGGGTTTTTGAACACTAACTTTAGCACAGCCTCATAGGTTGGCAAGTTAGTGCCAGTTCAGAACGCAGCGTTCCTCAGCCCGGGGCGGGGAAGGATGTGCAAGGCTGTGAAGTTTATCGCCCCACAGTGTGTGTCTCACCGTTTGTGCTCTAGATTGTAGACTTCTTAAAGAAGAAGCGCGACTTTGTAGACCTGCTTATGAAGCACATAGGCACTTCAGCCATCATGGATTTGCTGCTGCGGCTCCTGACCTGCATCGAGCCCCCACAGCCCAGGCAGGACGTGCTGAATGTGAGTGGGGGACTGCATGGCACTGTTCCATGCCAGGGGTGGGGAGGCGGCTGTTGGAATAGAGAGCGGCCAGGTGTGTTGGATGGGGACCCCGACGTGCTGCCTCAGGCTGAGAGGGGGTCGGTGGGAGTGCTTCTCCTTGGGAGTTTATCCTCCAGCAGGGTCTGGCTTTGGAGCAGAAGTGAGGCAGTGGGCGCCACCCTCTCCAGTGACTGCCCTGATCATGCTTCCTGGGGCCTGTGTGTCCCGCTGGCCTGCAGAAGCAGACTGCTGGGCTGTGCCTTCAGCCTGGCGCACGGGCAGGCGCATCTTAGAGTAGAGCTGTGTCCCCCGTAAGGACGCAGTCGCATGCCGCCCAGCCCGGCTGCAGCTCGCTGTGACTGCCGCGGTGTGTCCTGACATTCCGGCTCCTGATGGAATCCTGAACCGACTGGCTTATCCTTTGTTATTTCTTAGGCTGATCTCATTCCTGTCTTTGTGTGTTTAAAGAGATGGCCATGACCTTGCTGATTGCTCTTCTGCAGTGCGCGGGGCGGGGCTTCTTGGCCCTGTGACATCTCATGTTTCCTGCCGTATGTTTGGAAATCTAAAAGCCCCTTTTTAGCTGTGCTGTGTTTCTGTTTTGTTGTTTACTTGAAAGGCAGTAGTACTCGCAGGAAATGAGCGCTCTTCATGCGCTGCCCCCTTCCCAGCACTGAGCCAGTCCAGAGCCAGCAGTCAGGAGCTTCTTACAGTTTTCCACGTCGGTGAGGGGCCCGAGCACTGGGTCACCTGCTGATGCCTTCCCAGGCATATGAACGGGAAGCTGGGTCGTAAGTGGAGCAGCCGGGACTTGAACCAGCACTCATACGGATGGCTGTATTGGGGGTTGTAGTTTTACCTGCTGCACCACAGTGCCAGCATCCTGTGGGTTTTTTAACTCAGAAACTTGATATAAAATATGATTATTCTGTTGCTTTTGAAGCTGTGAGAACAAGTAGCTTCCTGTGGAAAATGTTTAAAATGTATCCTTACCATTTGACCCTCCCCCCGTAGCCAGTTACCGATATATAGACTTTGATTTTATTTATTTATTTTAATTTAGAAGCAGATTTTTACCAAGAGAGGAGAGACTGAGGCCCGTCATCTGTTGGTCCACTTCCCGGATGCCAGAACAGCCAAACTGAAATTACCCAGCTAGGAACCAGGGCCTTCTTTTGGGTCTCCCACATGGGCACAGGCATTCAAGGTCTTGGGCATCCTACATAGCTCCCCAGGTCTACACAGAGAGCTGGATCGGAAGTGAAGCAGCTGGAACACCAGCGGTGCCTCTAATGGGATTTGGTAGTTGCAAGGAGAGGATTAGCATGCTTTGCCAGTAAACTGAGCCATTTGTATAGACCATAGGAAAGTAAGCAGGAATTGTAGCTTGGGGAGTTGTTGGTACTATTGTCCACCTGTTACTGTATTTACGGGCCGTTTCCTAGGGGACTTTAAATTTCTGTAGTGCTCAGAGTCCAGAGAAAGCTGGCAGAGTCTCCTCAGAGTGCGGTGGCTGTTTGCAAGCAGGAGCCGCTCACTGCCGTGCCCCTTCCGCCATGTTTTACAGTGGTTGAACGAGGAGAGGATCATTCAGAGGCTGGTGGAGATTGTTCACCCGTCGCAGGAAGAAGACGTAAGTCCTCCTGGGAGACTGCACTGGCTTCTTCAAACACAACACTCATGCTTGTGTAGCTACAGAACATACCCTGAGCTGCGCTGAGAGTGGTCAGAGCAGGCTGGTGTAACAGTGGCCATGCGACCTTCTCGAAGGTAGCAGTTTATTTCTAAATGATATTTTATTGATACCCTGAAAATTTCAAGAAATGTGAGATGACAGGCCCTGGTTCATTCCATCTAAACCTGCCTGCCTTTCTTAAAAAGGTCCCTTCCGTCCAGAGTGCAGTGGCCACATCTGCGCTGGCTTTCCTTGGTCTGGCTGGCACTTAGAAAACAACGCAGAAGGCTCCTGGCCGCCATGGGCGCCTCAGTGAGTCGCGGCTGGGGCTCATGGCCCTGGGTGCTAAGGACAACCTGCAGGACTGAGCGCCGCTGAGGGACACGTGCAGGGACCTGAGAGCGGCTGGTTCGCTTGGAGAAGTTCAAGACCAAGGCAGTGAAATGTCCTCTTGTCAGCCCTTACCTGTAGGCGTGATGTTCGTTAGGATTGGCCCTGTTGGCTACGAAGGAGTTCTTTAAGGTGACCTGCAGGATCGCAGGGTTGTGCTTCTGCAGGGAACGGGAAGCTGGGCCCTGTGAGGAGGGCCAGGACGAAGCAGCTCACCAGGGGCTCCTGGCGGTCACCGAGAGCAGATGTGCCCCGTGAATGACAACAAAGGAAGAAAGGGCGTATTGTTTCCCCATAGTTCTCCCCAGTGCTCTTCTGTACCATTGCAGTGCCTGCCTGCGTGGGCCAGGTGGCAGAACCTACCAAGGTGTGCCAAGGCCTGCCCAGGAGCAGTCCTGGCTGGGTGGGCTGTGGGCTCTAGGCCCTCAGCTCAAGGTGGAGGACTCCAGCATGGCACGGGGCAGGAGCTTGACCGGCATAGGCCCAGATCGGCAGGGGCAGGAGCGTGGGCTTGTAGAGGGAACATGGGGCTTGGGCCCGGAAGCCATGGAATGCCCTGTTTGGGTGCTGAGGCTGTAGGGATGTTCCGTGTACTGCTCGCCTAGGCGTATATTTAAGAAGCTGCTGGTTTTGTTGTGGTGGTGGTTTTTTTTTTTTTTTTTTTTCTTTTTGAGCCAAAGAATCATGTATATCTTTCTGTGCTGATAAAAATATATTTGGGGGAAATTCAGTCAATTGCTCGATTGATTGATCAGCTGGTTTTGTCCAATCCTGCCCCTGCCTGCAGTTGGGCACACCAAGCGGAGCCATGCGGTACCTGCCGCGGAGTCCAGCGCCTACTGCATTCTTCCTTCAGGGTTTGAGTTTGTGCTCTCTGAGACATGGCCAGGATTCATTTGTGTTAATTCTTTAAACAGTTGCCTCATCATTTTTTCTTAGAAATTTGCCTTGTAATATGCTAAACGTGTGTTCTTTTTCCTTCAGCGGCATTCCAATGCGTCGCAGTCGCTGTGTGAAATTGTCCGCCTGAGCAGAGACCAGATGCTGCAGGCTCAGAGCAGCACCGAGCCAGACCCCCTGCTGGCCGCTCTCGAGAAGTAGGTTCTCAGTCCTCCCTTGTCTGTTCCCGCGTGGCAGTGCTCCTCGGGTGGGAGCTGTGTCCCTGGAGAGTGCTTGTGGCCTGGGGAGGAAGCAGAGAAGCCGCTTCCCTTAGGGCAGTCCTTCCCAGCGCTGTGGTTGGGTCAGCACTGTTCTGTGGAAGGGTCTCGCATCCGTCCTGGTTGGTGACATTCATTGATCTTTTTGGGACATGCCGCAGTGCACCAGGGCAGCTGACTCGGCCCGAACAGTGAGGCCGGCTGATCTGAAGGACACCGGGGGTATTGATGCCTGGATTCCCGTGTTTTCAAAGGGGTTGTTTTCTGCCAACATGGGCATGCATTTTCCTGCCCCAGACAGCTGAAAAGTAACTTTAGTGGAGAAAGTTGGTCGTTGCCCAGCCCGGTGGGTGAGTGAGTGACAGGCGTGCACTGAGCTGCTCTATGGAGTGCGGAGGCTGGCTGTCCTCTGTGTCCAGCTGTAGCCAGGCCCCGGGGGGCTTTCCTTTGCATCATTTGGCTCACCTGTCTGTAAGGCTTACTGGTTAAAATAAAAAGGGTATGTATGTGTGTTATTTTTTGGCACATGTGAGATAAGCAAGGAAAAAATAGAGACAAGCTACCTTGTTTTAGGCTCTGGTGCCTGGGGTATCGTTTGATGGACAATTGTGCGCTGTACAACGAGTCCTGGAGCAGTCCCTTGAATAGCACAGCTGGGAGCCTTCTCCACAGCTGGGAGCCTTCACCACAGCTGGGAGCCTTCTCCACAGCTGGGAGCCTTCTCCAGCATCTGAAGAGAAATGGCTTTGGGGCCTTGGCGTAGTGGCCTAGCGTAGTGGTTAAAGTTCTCACCTTGAACGCGCCCAGGATCCCATATGGGTACTGGTTCTAATCCCAGCGGCCCCACTTCCCAACCAGTTCCCTGTTTGTGGCCTGGGAAAGCAGTCAGGGATGGCACAAAGCCTTGGGACCCTGCACCTGTGTGGGATACCTGGAGGAAGTTCCTGGCTCCTGGCTTTGGATCAACTCGGCTCCAGCCATTGTGGTCACTTGGGGAATGAATCATTGTATGGAAGATCTTCCTCTCTGTCTCTCCTCTCTGTATATCTGACTTTGCAGTAAAAATAAATAAATCTTTTAAAAAAAGAAAAAGGAAAACGGGTTTGATCTGCCTCATATTAGTAATTCTTAAGATTGTGCTTAGGTACTTTAGAACTTACAAATTTCCCATTCAACCAGTGAATAAATGTTAATTAGGTTGAATTTCGGCATCGAGTGTTCTCCTGCGGCCTGTCCAGTAGAGGTACAGAAAGCTTCCTGAAGTCGGAGTGTGTGAAGCCTTGGACAGTGTCTTAGGCCTGGCTAGCGGTGTCCGCAGCCACCCGTGGCCACACTGGGCAGTGTAGGCTCAGCTGCAGAGCAGACTGCTCTGTGTGTGCTTGGAGTTCCCGCCACACCCCTTGCAGCACCATGTGTGACCTCGTCGCCAGGGTCTGCATGTACAGCTGGCTGTCCCGGGCTCCTGTGGCCACAGGCTTGGCCAGCTGGTAGATATGTCTGGTCAGTAGCTGCATTGTCTGTTTTCCATGCAATACAGCTTAGCAGCACTTAAAAAATTTATTTTTAATTTTTTTATTATTGGAAATTCAGATTTGCAGAGAAAAAAAATATTCCATCCATTGATTGACTTCCCCAAGTGACCACAGTGGCTGAAGCTAAGCTGATCTAAAGCCAGGAGCCAGGAGCTTCTTCCAGGTCTCCCACACGGGTGTAGCATCCTAAGGCTCTGGGCCGGCCTCTGCTACCTTCCCAGGCCACAAGCAGGGAGCTGGATGGGAAGTGAAATAGCCAGGAAACAGACTGGCTCCCATCTGAGATGCTTACACTTACAAGTGGAGGATTTGCCAGTTGAGCCTTTGCGCTGCCCTTAGCTGCAATTTTCACAACATTGCCCTTGTAAATCACCTAGAAACCATGTATGTATGGGAGACTGTGCAAGGTTTACACCATGGAACTCTTTTGCACCCACCAACTCTAGAATCTGAGGGCATCCTGAGACCCGACCCCTGCAGGTACAGAGGCTAGAGGACTCTGTCTTTCTATGTTAGCTGTGTCCTCAGTGCTGGCCTGGGCCACTGCAGGTGCCCCTGTTTTGTGTCTGGATCTAGCTACATCTTTTATTTATTGGAAAGGAGGAATTAGAGAATTCTGATTTTTACCCCAGATGGTGCAGCGACCAGGCCAATCGCAGGAAACTGCTCCATGCAGGTCTTGGACAGGGCTGCGGGGGTCCAAGGCTCTTCCAGCTTCTTTAGCAAGGAGTTGCATCAGAAGGGGAGCAGCCAGCTTGTCAGCATGCAGGGTCACCTGCTGTATCACAGGCCCGCCCCCTCGGATCTGCCTCTTGAAGTATTAGTTACAACATGTTCGTCACACACCTCACCCCAGTGAATCGATGCTGTGATGTCAGCTGATGAAGGCTCCCGCGCTTGTGTGGGGCCCACAGCTCTCCCGAGACCCGGCATGCTCCCTTCCCGTGTGCTGCTGGTGTCTGTTGATGGAAGCCGTACAGCAGTACAGAAGTCCTCTGCTGGGTCCTGGTAGCCTCTGTGGGTGTGTTTGAGAACATGTGTGATGTCCATGTGGATGTTACGTTAGTAAATAGCAGTGCTCTATCAAGTCAGCTGTCTGAATGTATTATAATGTCAACAAGCCCACACTCAGATGTTGATTGTGTACATATAAGTGTTGGCTAACATGAGGCACGGTGCAGGGATGGTAGCCCTGGTAGGGTGCTGAGGATGCACTCTGCGTCCGCGGGTGAGGTCTGGGTGTGAACTGGTATCTGCCATTCAGCAGCACTGGGAATTTGTTTGAAGTTGGACATTTGTTTAAAAAGTTGTGGAAGGATTGGGCTGTATATCACTTCATTCTTGTTCCCAGTGTCTGTCAAACGAACTGGACTCAGGCCGGTTAGAGAGCAGTTTGCTGTGGCTGCCCATCTGAACAACAAAATGGAGACAGGAAATGCAGGCAGTTCATCTTCTGACTCTTGCCCAAGAACTTGTTTGCTTGTGTTTTTAATGTGAACGTGGATATATTTTCTCTTTCCTAAATTTCTGGTCATATTGCATACATTGCTTTTTACCCTATTTGACAAGCTCGGCTTGTAGTACGTCTTCTTGGTCATACTTGTGCGTTTAGGAGCATGGAGCAGGCATGGTGTCGTGTCCTAACCACAAGGCTGTGCTGCACTGTTGCATTATTCCTGTCTGAGTAGAATGCTTTCCTCGACAATGTTGGCCTTCAGTTTGCTGGAGCAGTGTGCAGTGGCTGAGGTCCCTGGCGCCTCTGCCTGCAGGCCCTGGGAGGGGTGAATGTGTGACACTGCCCACAGATGAGTGCCAGCACTGCCACTCCGGGAGAGGGGAGCAGGCGCCGGCTGGGTCAGTCCCCTCCACCTGGGCTGAGGCTGCTGTTTGAAGAACACTCTGATTTACCATCAAGCCTTTCCAGAACCTTCTGGCTAGCCTTGTGGCTGACTGTGTGGACTGCTGTGTATTTGTGTGACTTTGGGGCAACCCAGACTACTTTCTTTAGGTGATTTGCTTATGTTAATGATTAGATTCTCTCTCGTGCTGCCTCAGCCTGCTGAGAGGCGGTGAGGTGGCATGTGTGAGTGCCGGGGGCCACCCTGCCCTGGGAGATTCTGCCCAACAGCACACCGTGTTGTGAAGGAGGACATGTTTCTTAATTTACCTGAATTCAGGATATCTCTGACATTTCAGGAAACTGAGGTTTTCCTAAAGAATTTTCATAGAAATGTTACACCTCCCGCCCCCCTATGTTAATGTGACCTCCAGCGCGACTTCCTGCAGCTGTGATGAGTCTGGGGTCTCGCTGCCATGGCAGTGCGCCAGGTGGTCATTGTACAGGATGTGCAACAATGGGTGCCCCTTTTATATGCATTTTAGATCTTTGTTAGTTACACATTCTTGTCTTGTGGGAAATCATTTATGAATTCTAACTAGATTTATTTTAACGTTCCCTCTTTGAGTAAGGTGAAGGGTTGTGTCTTGACCACCTGTGCTCACCAACACCACCTTCGTGTTGAGTCGAGGGTGACATCACTCTTGAAAGAAGTAAGAGCAGTGTTCCATCTGTAAAAGCAGCGTCCCTCCATCTCCCATTCCTCCCACCGGCTGCTGCCACTGCCAAGAGAGAACTCAGCTTCAAGAAGCCAGAGAGAACAGCGTCCCTCTCCCTGTATATGTAACAAAAGGGAGGAACGTAAAGAGTTACTCGGACATCCCACCTTGGACCCGGGGCCATTTCCTCTTCTCACAGCCGTCCATTATCAGATGTCACCCGCATTCCACCTGAGAATCCCACCCCAATCTCCCAGCCCCTTTCCCAACCCCGCCCCTCACCACTCATCCCCAGGCATTCACCTGCAGGCACCAGTCCCCTGGGACCTGCCCTCGATCCCAGTCCTGTCCCCCGACACCTTGCAGGCCTACCTGAACACAAGGGGTCCCAGGTCCCTCCATCCTCCTCCAAATAAATAAATAATAGGAGCACTGTTCGAAGTGTGGTTGAGCTCTTACATAATATTTACCTCATTTGTGCCAAGGTCTTTTTCTGAGGTTTTGTTAAATGATGTTGCAGTTAGCACTAAACTGTTGATTTTTTTCCCCCCAGGCAAGAAATTATAGAGCAGCTGCTATCAAATATTTTCCACAAAGAGAAAAACGAAACAGCCATAGTGAGTGCAATCCAGGTCTTGCTGACTTTACTTGAGACACGGCGGCCAACGTAAGCGTTCATTTAATTTTACAAAATGAACCGTGTGAGTTTTGTTTTAGCTTGTTGAGAAGCCAGCGTTGTGAAGCAGATGAAATGTCTACTCGTGGGATCCCTCTTCGGAATCACGGTTCTGAGTCCTGACTGCACCACTTCCAGCTTCGCTTCCTACCAAAGTGCCAGAGAAGGCAGCTGAGGACGGCTGAGGCCCCGGGCCCCTGGGCGGCCTGGCCCCAGTCCTGGCTGTTGAAATTGCTTTTGGAGTGAGCCAGTTTATAGATACCTGTCTCCGTCTGTTTTACTCAAGCAAAGCAGTTAAACAGAGCCAGAATTAAGATCTTAGTAGATGAGTTGAGCAGAACGCCTTTGCGCGTCAGGTGCTGAGTGCTCCCAGGCGTCCGTGGGGAAGCTGGGACGCTTTGGGTAGTCACATAGAGTTTCTTAGTAGCTGGGAAAATGAGTAGTAAGTGCATAGTGAAAACAGGCCATCAGGCACTCCTTCCCGGGGCCCCCCGCCCCACCTGGGTCCTGCGGCCCTCACTTGTCTCGGTGTCTGAGTGTTCTTGGTGTGTGAACACTTGAAGAACTCTGTAGAAATGGTTCTATGTAAGAATCCCAGGGGTGTAGGATTTAGAGTTCAGAATTTCAGTTTGACTCCAAATTGACTCCATCCTGTAAAGCAGAGGACAGTAAGGATGTGTTTCCAGCACATGTGCGTGTCGGCCACCCGAGGCTCCTGGGCTGACCTCATGAATGACAGAGGGGGCTGTCTGACCCAGGAAGCGCCCATCTCTTGACAGGGTTATCTGGTTCCAAGCAGGACTCGCTTCTGCAGATGAGAAGTTGATCTGAGCCTTTCCTCATAACTTTAATTAGATTAATTTGTTTTCCACGCACCTTTTCTTTCTTCTTTTTGTATCTGGGGGAAGAGGGTTAGAAGTTAAGGACAGAAGGCACACCCGGCCTCGCAGCCGCCCCAGCTCCCGGGGATTGGAACAGCTCAGGGTCTGCAGGGTGGAGCATGTTCCACGGGGTCTGTCCAAGTGGTTTTGATAGTTCTGACATGCTGTTGCAGATCTAAGCTTTTATCTGAATTTTTCAAATCCAAAGGATGAAGAATAAATCTTTAAAAATCTGGATAAGCAATGCGGGCTTGGCCCAGTGCAGTGGCTCAGTGGCTGAAGTCCTTGCCTTGAACACTCTGAGATCCCATATGGGCTCCAGTTCTAATTCTGGCAGCCCCGCTTCCCATCCAGCTCCCTGCCTGAGGCCTGGGAAAGCAGTCGAGGACGGACCAGAGCCTTGGGACCCTGCCACCCGCGTGGGAGACCTGGAAGAGGCTTCTGGCTCCTGGCTTTGGATCGGCACACCTCCGGCCGTTGTGGTCACTTGGGGAGTGAATGGAAGATTTTCCTCTCTATATATATCTGACTTTGTAATAAAAATAAATAAGTCTTTAAAAATCTGGATAAGAAAAGCTGGGCTCCTTGGGGAGCTGGTGAGATCTTATGATACTGTTTGTGTAGCTAGATGCTCACCAAGTGTCGGGGCCTGCACAGGATCAGCCGAGCTCCTGTGGACTCGGAACATGGAGCAGGCCTTCCCAAACACAGGACTCCGTGTGCCCTCTGTGCTGCTGCCAGGGGACAGCTGACATGAGTGTTAGCAAAGAATGAAGGAAATATGCTGGTAACTTTGGATTGAAGGGAAGCGGAGGGTCAGCATCGGGCGCCCGTCCCTGAGCTGGTTCTGCCTCCGGCTTCTGCTCCCGCGTCCTGCCCCAGTAACCGGGTGCCTGTTAACTGTATACAGACCTTTGGGTTGAGCGGCCAGCTCCCTGCTGATGTGTGTGAACTTCCCGCACGCGTGTTGCCTCTGGCTCTCTATGAAATGAGGTGGCAGTGTTGGGGCACAGCAGGTAGAGCTGCTGCTTATGACCAGCCTTGTCCATGTCCAGTTTGTAGTGGGAGATGGCCAGAGTGCGTGAGCCCTTGCCACCCGCATGACTCCCAGTTCCCAGCTCTGGCCACTGTAGCCATCTGGGGCGTGAGCTAACATGAAGATTCTCTCTCTGTCTCTCTGTCTCTCTGTGTCTCTCTCCCCATGTAGCTTTGACTTTCACATAAATAAATAAATTTCTAAAATTTAAAAAAAAAAATGAATGGGGCCTGATAAGTGATGATTGTGAAATTTGTGTTGATAATCATGGTTCTGATTTTTCTAAGTGCGTGTGGTAGACTGACAATAGATAGTTGATCCCCATAGCATCTTAGAAGGCAAAGAGGCAAAAACAAAGTGAACAGACAGCCAAAGCTCCAGGCCTGCCGCGCAAGGGCAGGGCACGCACAGCTGCCACCCTTCCTCCATCAGCACTGCCCTTGGCAATAGAGAGAGAGCAGTGAGGCGGGGGTGCCCTCCTGGACCCGCCTTTTCTCTTAGGCAAAAGGGGTGTCCTGCAATGCTCAGGCTTAGCTGACCGACTGCAGTGGGAGGAGTGATTTGTACAAGATAAGGCAGACATTCCAAGCCTGGTCGGCATTCCTGCCTTGCTTGAGGAAGGACCAACATTTTTGAGAGCCTGGTCTCCTATAACTAGGGACTTTGCTGCCCAGCACTGGAACTGAAACACAGGCAAAATGACAGCTCCCACACAGCCTGTACCCTCCTGTGCACCCTGTCCCTCTGTGTTAGACTGCCAGGTGTCCAGGAACAACTAGCTGCAGTTTGTTGATGGAGGGAAAGCAGGTGTGGGGAGGGCTAGAGGAGTCTGCCATGGTCCGGTACCAAGTGTAAAGAAAGCCCGTAAGGTGAGCGTGGGGCACGCCGCGAGAGAATCGTGGTGCCCTGTTGATATGTCTTTCTGCTCTCCTATACAAGGGGTCCATCTGTGACCCCAGAGACGAGAAAAAACCCAACAAGTTCTCAAGAGAAAAAGCAGTACACAGAACTGGACCCCAAAACGTAGAATCCTGAGGGGGAGTGTAATAAAATGATGACCGTGTAAAGACTGAGAAAAGTGGACAGTGTGTGAACAGATGAGGAAGTTTGTCAGAGTCAAGGTAGTACTGAGTACCAGACACGAAAAACAGCCACAGAATGAAAAACGCCTTCAGTCTCATTGGTGAACTTGGCCGTGGTGGAATAGAGAACCCACACAGGGAGTCTGAAGTGGAGTGGGTGCTGTGGCTCCGCAGACTGGGCCTGCACACTGTAGCCCCTGTGAGTGAGTTCATGGCCTGGGAAAAGAGCAGACTGGCCCAAGACCTTGCCATCCCATCCCCGCCCCCCAGGAGACCCGGATTTGAGCTCCTTTCTCCCAACTTTGGTCCGGCCCAGCTCTGGCCATTGTGGTCATTGGGGGGCAATGGACCAGTGAAAATGAATCTCTTTATGAAAGTATTTTTGAAAATAGGACCTTGGGTATAGGTTTGGGTGTGAGAGCTCCATACGACCCTCATAGTTTTTTTTCAGGTTTGTTTTGTCTGCGTTTTTAAGTCTTTATGCAGAAGTTCAGGTGTGAGCAGCACCAGACATGCACTTGGCCTGATGGACACTACAGGGCACCGTTTACTCTCCGCAGCCGCCAAGTTCACCTGCTTCCCATGGTCTCCTCTCACTCCTGTCACGGGTTATGGTAACTGGCTGGCTTAACCCACGGCCGTTTCTCAGCTCGCGAGCACAGGGCCCAGGTGCCGGCTGCTGGATGTCTAGTGATGACCCACGTCCTGTGTGCACGCGACTGGCTTAGCGTTTCTCCACGTGGCTCAGAAAGGAAGCCCGCTCTGCCCTGCTATAGGACCATGACCTAAGGCGCCAGGGCTGCACCCTCACATCTGGTTGGCCTTGCATCCCAGAGTATAGCTGCAGCTGCGCCGAGATTCCCAGGACCCAGTGCGGGCAGCATGCCTGGCAGCTGGGCACCAGCCTGCTTCCTGTGAGAAGTTACCATGTGACCTAGTAGTCTAAACGGCAACATAAAACCTGTGTGTGAGTGTCTGTCACCTTTAAAACACAAGTAGATTTTCATATGAAATTTAAATTATGAAATAAGGATGTATCGATATTCCTTGGCCTATAGAAGTGTAAGAAATTTTAAACATGGCTCCCTAAACAAAAGCTGTTGAGGAGGGGGGACCTTCTTACATCAAGAGCTTCATGCTTTCAGATGCATTTGATCAGAATGACTGTGGTCTTCCACCTTGTGGATGCATTTCTAAAGGAGATCGCCTGGAGCTGTCAGAGCGCGCGCACACAGGGGCGTGTGGGATTTCACAGTCATCCTGGCGACTGGGCACTTGGTCGGCGTGTCCTGGAGTGACGGCTGATACTGGCAGGCTGTGAGCTTGGACTTGGACCCCAGTGGTCTGCACTGCTGGGCAGGCGGCACCACACTTTGACAGGCCTTCACTTCCTTTTATGCTTTTATTTATATTTATACTTTCCTTTTACAATTTTGTAATAGAATCTTAAGTGATATTGCTTTGTGGTTTTATGAAATCCAATTTAATCTTAGAGTAAGAATGAAGACTAAGGGTGCGAGTTTGGTGCAACAATTAAGATATTACTTGGGACACTTGCAGATTTAGCCCTGCTCAGAAGAGCCACCCCTAGTTAATGCTGGGAGATGGCCTTCACTTCCCCTCTGGGCGCTCCCGCTGCAAACCAAGAGGATCATTCTGCCTCTAGTTTTTTTTCTGTTGGCTCTGGGTTGCAATGAGTGTAGATTGTTGCATAGATGAATAGCTTAAGTTTTTTAGTTAGGAAGCAATATTGTTTACCTAAGAAAAGCTGGAACAAGTACAGGCTGTGTGTGCGCTAAGTCAGGAGGCAGGGCTCCTGCTTGCTTTTCTAGTCTTGTTCTGAGTTGGATCCCGGGCGAGTTGGTGGGTGTCCATTGCAGTACGGGGCCTTGGGCGCTGAGATAATAAACCTGTGTGTGGCCGCGCCTGTGTGGTTGGGGAGTGGGCGAGGGAGTGCAAGGTCTCTGCTGCTCTCTCTGCCTTTCAAGTCAAAATGAACGAGTCTTTTTATAAAAGTAATTTAAAAAACAGATACTTGGGGATAGGTTTGTGTGTGAGAACTCAGTACGGCCCTTCTAATTTTCCAGTGCCTTTCCTCTGTTCCCAGATTTGAAGGCCACGTAGAGGTCTGCCCGCCAGGCATGAATCTTTCCACTTGTTCAGTCAGTAAGAGTGTGCTGGAAGCCATCAGAGGAAGACTCGCGTCTTTTCACGAACTCCTGCTTGAGCCACCCAAGGTAGGTGAGCTTTGCTAAGCATGAGTAAGCATCCTAGGGTTGGTGCAGACACTCAGCTCTCCCTTGGGAGAAGTGCAACTATCTGGGAGCAGCCTGTCCAGTGGGTTACAAGGGCCAGCACCGGAGGGGAGGAACGCAGCCTGCTTTATGACGGCCTTGGTCACTGCGGCCGCTGTGGTCCCTGTGGTCAGTGTCGGTCGCTGTGGTCCTTGTGGTCCCTGAGGTCACTGTCGGTCACTGTGGTCCTTGTGGTCACTGTGGTCCCTGCGGTCACTGTGGTCCTTGTGGTCACTGTGGTCCCTGCGGTCACTGTGGTCCTTGTGGTCCCTGAGGTCACTGTCGGTCACTGTGATCCTTGTGGTCACTGTGGTCACTGTCGGTCACTGTGGTCCCTGCGGTCGCTGTGGTCCTTGTGGTCCCTGAGGTCACTGTCGGTCACTGTGGTCCTTGTGGTCACTGTGGTCACTGTCGGTCACTGTGGTCCCTGCGGTCGCTGTGGTCCTTGTGGTCCCTGAGGTCACTGTCGGTCACTGTGGTCCTTGTGGTCACTGTGGTCCCTGCGGTCACTGTGGTCACTGTCGGTCACTGTGGTCCCTGCGGTCGCTGTGGTCCTTGTGGTCACTGTGGTCCCTGCGGTCACTGTCCGTTGTCTGCTCATGCATGAAGCTCACCTTTCTCTCGTACATTTTTTTAAATACGCACTTATCAGGCCTGGCACCTTAGCCTGATCTTTTTTTTTTTTGAGATTTATTTATTTTTATTGGAAAGGCATATATAGAGAGAGGAGGAGAGACAGAGAAGAATATCTTTTGTCCACTGGTTTACTTCCCAAGTGGCAACAATGGCTGGAGCTGTGCCAATCTGAAGCCAGGAGCCAGGAGCCCCTTCTGGCTCTTCTGTCTGGGTGCAGCATCCCAAAGCTTTGGGCCGTCCTCGACTGCCTTTCCAGGCCACAAGCAGGGAGCTAGATGGGAAGTGGGGCTGCTGGGGTTAGAACTGGCACCCATATGGGGTCCTGGGCATTCAAGGTGAGGACTTTAGCTGCTAGGCCACCACACTGGGCTCTGTCGTATCAGTTCTTAAGCATTTGTATATTCCTTGCAGTTACATTTTCACATCTTTGGAGTAAGTTGAGATAAACTTAATCCTTGAAGAGCTGGCTTTGAAGTGACAGTTGGTGTAGGCTCTCGGTCTAATGGGAAAGTGGGTTCAAGTTGAGTGCTTGGAAGCAAAGACCGTGCCTTAGATGGCCAGTTTTGGTGGCAGCTGTCTGGTGACAGCCCCTCAGTGCTGTCGCATGCCCTTAACCTGCTCGCCTTGGAGCAGGGGTCAGGTGAGGCCAAAGGTGCTGGCTGGGACGGTCAGAGTCCTCGCTTTTCTGCCTAGGGAATGTCTCTGGCTGTCCAGTTGGGAATTATTGAGGGCTTTTTATACTAACTTGCTCCTGAGTTAGGTGTTTACTATGTAGCAAAAGGAGGGACCTCGGATGATTTAGGTGTGTAATTCAGGGAGTCTGGTTCAGCATCCAGATTGTCTTGGAAAGGCTTAACGGAGACATCCATAGCTCGGCACGGAGTGTGTGGCGTGAACAGGTGTGGTCACTGCCAGCCTTGGTGGGAAGGGGAGGGTGAGGAGCAGAACGGGCGAGAATTTCCCAGGTAAAAGCTGGTAGAGAGGAAGGTGTTTGGGCGCGGCCACCCTCCTGGGAGTGAGCTGCCGACTTAAGCTTGTGCCTGGCTCTGCTGTGGCACAGAGGTGGGTCCATGATGCTTTTTCAGAAGTCTGCCATGCAGTCGGACTGTGGGGCAAGGCAGGGCACTGCACGGGGATGCCCGCCAAGGCACTGGGTGCCCTCCCTATCAGGCTTTCGGATTCTGACCTGCTGTCAGCCTTCTGGATGGGGTTTCAGACAGTAACAGCCTTTCTAGAACAGGTTCAGGTTCGTGGCATTTCTGAAGTCTGGTCTTCCAAGTTTGTATTTTTACCTCTATAGATTTGGCACACTGGGAACTGTATTCCATAACTGCTGTAACATTAGCTTTCTGGTTAGGTTTTGAAATCTTTTGTTTTTCCATGGATTTCCTACATACTTCTGCTTTTTGTTGTTGTTGTTGTTTGTTTTGTTTTAATTTATACTCCAGGGCAGTAATGTGGTTTGTTGCTACTCGGTGTTCTAGCCATCGTTTGAAGGACCAGCTGTCTGATCAGGTGTTGGATTCGGGCCACGCTCTGCAGCTCGGTACCATGCTCCAGCAGCTACGTCTTTTCTGTGTGTTTTATGGGGAAAGTTTTTCTTCCACAGAAAAGTGTGATGAAGACCACGTGGGGTGTGCTGGACCCGCCCGTGGGGAACACGCGGCTGAATGTGATCCGGCTCATCTCCAGCCTGCTGCAGACCAACACGAGCAGCATCAACGGGGACCTCGTGGAGCTCAACAGCATCGGCGTCATCCTGGTGAGCGCCCCGCATTCTCCCCTCCGCCCTGGTGCTGCTGCGCCCCAGCCTCCAGCACCCTGCTGAGCTGCTCCTCCAGCACCCTGCTGAGCTCCTCCCCAGCCTGAGCTCTGCTCCGTGGGTGTGGCCCTCCTGGCAGTCTGCACGGGGCCTGGGGCTGTGTGTCCTGTGAGCGTCAGTGTCTCTGTAGATTCGTCTGGACTTTGTCTGAAATGCTGATTGTGTTGCTGCTGTGTGCGAAGAGCTGTAATGCTGAACTCCAGATGAGAGGAAGCACAGGGTCTTCCCAGGAGAAGCCTGGTAGAGTGGCCCGGGTGGCCAGAGCGGCACAGTTGGCGTGGGTGCCAGGATGGCTGGGGTTGTGTGTGTGGTGGCTCCAGGCCATGTGCTCTTGGTCTGCAGCCTGCTTTCTCCTGGGCGGGTGGCAGTGAGGCTGCGCGTGGCTGGGAGGGAGGGAGAAGCGGAGGCGGAGCTGGCCTTCGGGTCCCTTAGTGCTGACAGGCCGGCACAGCACCGACGGCCGGATTTCAGTGTGTGATCTCGTCACATCACACATTTTGGGACATTGCGAATCATTTATTTATTTTGGAATCTTTTTACCTTTTTTTTTTTTTTCAAAGATTTATTTATTTTTATTGCAAAGTTGGGTATACAGAGAGGAGACGAGACTGAGAGGAAGATCTTCTATCCATTGATTCACTCCCAGGTGACCACAATGGCCAGAGCTGCGCCAATTTGAAAGCAGGAGCCAGGAATTTCTTCCTGGTCTCCCATGAGAGTGCAGAGTTCCAAGGCTTTGGGACGTCCTCTCCTGCTTTCCCATTCCACAAGCAGGGAGCTGGATGGGAAGCGGGGCCACCGGGATTAGAAACGGCGCTCATATGGGATCCCAGCGTGTGCAAGGTGAGAACTTTAGCCGCTGAGCTACTGCTCTGGGCCTTGAAACTTTTGTTTTAAATCTGTCTTGCAGGGCACAGCGTGATAGCGGCTAAAGTCCTCACCTTGCATGTGCTGGGATCCCATGTGGTCACCGGTTCTAATCCCGGTGGTCTTGCTTCCCATCCAGCTCCTTGCTTGTGGCCCAAAGCCTTGGGACCCTGTACCCACATGGGAGACCTGGAAGAGCTCCTGGCTCCTGGCTTCACATTGGCTCAGCTCTGGCCATTGCGGTCACTTGGGGAGTAAATCATTGGATGGAAGATCTTTCTCTCTGTCTCCGCCTCTCTGCATATCTGACTTTGTAATAAAAATAAATAAATCTTTAAGAAAAAATAAATCTGGGCCCGGCGCAGTGGCGCAATGGTTAAGGTCCTTGCCTTGCATGCCCGGGATCCCATATGGGCGCCAGTTCTAATCCCGGCAGTCCCGCTTCCCATCCAGCTCCCTGCCTGTGGCCCGGGAAAGCAGTGGAGGACGGCCCAAAGCCTTGGGACCCTGCACCCGCGTGGGAGACCCGGAAGAGGCTCCTGGCTTCGGACCAGCATAGCATCGGCCGTTGCGCTCACTTAGGGAGTGAATCATCGTATGGAAGATCTTCCTCTCTGTCTCTCCTCTCTATATATCCGCCTTTCCAATAAAAATTAAAAATGAATCTTAAAAAAAAAAAGAAAGAAAAAATAAATCTGCCTTGCATCTGAAGGCATGCAGGGAGATGCAGACGCATGACTGTCTCATGTTTGTTTGCAGGTGTCCACGTCAGGTGGGACTGACCACGCCACAGCCCCAGACAGGGAACTTCTTCTCAGTTCCCCAAGGATTTGGGGTGTATTCACAGGAGATTGAATTGGAAGTGGAGCAGCTGGGACGCTAATTGGCATCCATACGGGATGCCCCTGCTGCAGGTGGAGACTTAGTCTAGCAGGCCGTGGCACTATCTTAAGCAGTGTGCAAACACTGAGGGATTAGGTTAGGAGTGTGGGAGAGGGCTGCACTTACATAGCTCTCCTGGGAGCTGTGAGGGGGCAGCCTTCCCAGATCAAGGCCACAGGCAGTGCCTCCCCATGGCAGCGAGGGAGAGGCCGGGGAGACAGTATGTGCTCCCACTTGGCATTGCCAGTGCAGAGTGAGGACATGGGCCCATTGGAAATGAGGAAAGCCACTTCTGTGGTGGGCGCCTCGTTTTCGCCTTGCCCTCTGGCTGGCTGGTGAAACTGGTGTCCCTGCTTCCAAAGTTGCCCCTGAAGGTGCTGGCCACTGATCCTGTAACCTCAGTTCATTGTTAATCTCTAATGTGTTCGCACGGTAATGACTTGGTGAGACGCGAGGGCAGGTGCCTGGGGTCGTCCGCTCTTGCACACTGCCGGTGGCTCTGCTGCTTTGTGCTCTCCTGGGAAGCTCCGCCTTTTCTGCTGGTGGCACAGTGCCGTGGGTGCAGGAGGCACCCGTGCTCACACAGCTCTCGCTGCCTCACTGTTTATTTCTCAATGCTTTGACTTGTCCATTTGTTATTGTAGATTATTGCAACTCGGCATCACATAATTGTTCCCGATAATCCCTTTATGGTCCTTTTTAAAACCTTTCTTTATTGAGAGGGAGGGAAAGGAGGGGGCGCAGAGGGGGAAGGAGGATGTACCTGTCTGCTGCTTCCCTTCCCAGAGGCCTACAACATCATGTTTTCCCTCTGAATTACATATTTTTTAATTATTCTGAAATTATGTAAAGAATTATTGTGCATTCTAACAATTGCGTGGGAATAAAAATTTAAATCACAGACATAGGTAGTATGTTAAAATTTTTTGCTTTATTTACTTATTTTTTAAGGATTTATTTATTTTTATTACAAAGTCAGATATACAGAGAGGAAGAAAGATCTTCCATCCGATGGTTCACTCCCCGAGTGAGCACAACGACTGGTGCTGTGCCGATCCAAAGCCAGGAGCCAGGAGCTTCCTCCAGGTCTCCCGCGTGGGTACAGGGTCCCAAGGCTTTTGACTGTCCTCGACTGCTTTCCCAGGCCACAAGCAGGGAGCTGGATGGGAAGCGGGGCTGCCGGGATTAGAGCTGACGCCCATATGGGATCCCAGTGTGTGCAAGGCAAGGACTTTAGCTGCTAGGCCACGCTGCCAGGCCCTGCTTTATTTATTTTAATTGGAAAAACAGACTTACAGAAAGAAAGGGAGATAGAAAGATCTTCCATCCAGTGGTTCATTCTCCATGTGGCCACGAAGGCTGGAGCTGAGCTGATCCGGAGCCAGGAGCCTCTTCTGCGTCTCCCATGTGGGTGCAGGGTCCCTAGGCTTTAGGCCGTCTCCCACTCTTTCCCAGGCCACAAGCAGGGAAAGTGGAGCAGCCAGGATACAAACCGGTGCCCGTATGGGATCCTGATTCGTTCAAGGCAAGTATTTTAGCCATTATGCTATCGTGCCAGGCCCAGGAAATCTTTTAAATATACAGCAGATTTTGGGCTTTCATTGAAAATACTGGTATCATAACTAGAATTTATTTCATTATTTTTGAAAAATTTGGACTTGCCCTTGGTGATCCAATTGTTTGGCTTTGATTTGATTTTTACTTTAGTGTTTATTAGAAAGATGAGGGGCTGTAGGCCCTCGTGGGCCTCTAGTTAGGCTGGAGAGTGTCCGGGTTGGGGCCTGAGGGTGGGAGGAGATCCGCAGTCTTCCTTCCTTTGTCTTGTCTGCCGGTTGGGGGCGGGAGACACCTCTTTTGAGTAGTAATAGAATTTATTTCCTCAATTTATTGAAAAGTCAGAGTTGCACAGAGAGAAAGAGACAAAAAAGTCTTCCGGCCCTTGGTTCACTCCCCCAGTAGCTGTGAAGGCTGGAATTGGAGCTGTCCGAAGCCAGGAGCTTCTTCCCGGTGTCTGACGGGGTGCGGGGGCTCGGCACTTGGAGCAGGTGCATTCGCAGGGAGCTGGATGGGAAGTGGAGCATGAAGGACTTGACCTGGGACCCCTGTGGGATGCCAGCTTTGCAGCCTGAGGCTTAGGGTGCTGCACCACTGGGCTGTCACTAGCTCTTCCTCCCTCACTGGTGGTGCCAGGTGTTCCCACAGGCTGTTCACTTGGATTCAAGTGCAATTCTTAACAGATTTCCTTGAAAATTATTAAACACTTAGTGAAGTTATTATTCTCTTTTCCTTTATATGTCAACTGTTGGTTTCTCCTAGTTTCATGCAGGTTTTGACAGAGTGAATTGAACAGGGACCATGTCATGTCGGGTATGAAGTGGAGTGTCAGATCCCCTCTGACATACCTGTGTTCCTGTTCTGAGAGCACGCTTCCTGCATACACCACACATTGGAGTAGTGGCTTCAGCACTCCTGCGTCTCAGCAAAACTTTGTACTCTTTTCTAGGACATGTTCTTCAAATACACATGGAATAACTTCCTGCACACGCAAGTGGAAATTTGTATTGCACTGATTCTTGCGAGCCCTTTTGAAAATGCAGACAGTGGCACAATGGCTGCTCAGGACACTGCTGGCGACAACTTGTTGTTGAAGCACGTAAGCTTTTCCAGTCCGGTTCTCGGTGCCTGGCTCTCCTGGGTGCAGCACTTCCCCACTCAGGGTGAATTCTGGACAGATGCCAGTTAAATGACACACCCTTTACAGCAAAAGTTCAAGGGGCTGCGTGTTTGTAAAGTGCACAGGTTTGGACAGAGGTAAATCTTTCGGGGAGTAGAAGAAGCGTTGAAGGTTAAATCCACAGAGTGATTGTGGCAGCTGCCTGGCATCGCAGTGGTTGGCATGTGAGCATCTGGAGAGGCGAGTTGTGTGCAGGGAGCCTCTCCTAGAGGTCGCCGGCACAGTGCCCTGGGGCTTGTCCCTGGCGGGAGGAGGTGCACAGAGCCGGTCAGGGAGCTGGGGAGAAGGAGTGATGTCAAGGGTTGCTTTGGATTCTGAGCTACATTTTTGCGATGGTGAAATGCTCTTTATTCTGTTTTGGTTTTGGTCAGAGCGAGTTCTCGCAGCTGAGACGCCCTGCTGGGTTGGCCGCACCTTGCAGAGCCAGCACCGTCCTTGGAGACAGGTGCACTGCGGGCCTCCACCTGCTGCCGACACGCCCCTTGTTTCCTTTCACAGTTGCACATTTTGACATTTGCATAAATCTAAATGGTTATGTTCTTTTTCATTCAGCTTTTTCAAAAATGTCAATTAATAGAACGAATACTTGAAGCCTGGGAAATGAATGAGAAGAAACAGTAAGTAAATTGTTTTTATGAAAGGAATTCAGTTTCTTAGATTATAAATTGTCTCCTCCTGCCCGTCTCAGGAAAATGAAAATGTTTTCGTTGAAGCAGATGCTTTCTGCTCGTTTGTTGTTAGCTCTTGGCATCTCCCTGTGGCAGTCATGGGTCCGAGAGGACCCTGCCCTGCTGTGCCGCCTCTGATGCTTCCTGGCTGTGGGCTTGGGGCATCTTTGCAAGAGGGTCCCGGAGGCAAACCAAGGTGCCCGTGCAGTCCACCTCCTGTGATGTCTGCCGCATCGCTGACCCAGCGTGGGAAGAATAGTCGCTTCATATGTGGAACTCAATGGGGCATGGATGAATTTTTTTTCCTTTTAGAAAATCTGCAGTAGCCGCCTGGGAAGGGTGTGTGAGGTGCCTGAGTGCTGCTGAAAGCTGCACTGTGTGGCCTGATTTGGCAGTGCTGATGTACGCCACGGCATCCCTGTGATGACTCGCATGCCACCCTATGGGCTCTCGGCCGCGGCGCAGGGCGTCCCTCCTATGGCAGGTTGACAGCAGGAGCGGTCGGGTCATCTGTGTGGGAGCTGCAGGCCTAGCTGATCCTAGCAATGGCCTGGATGGTGGGCACGCCCCCTGCCCTCAAGCCACTTGGCCTCAGTGCCCTCAGAGTCACTGCTTCCCCCGGAAGTCTCCTTGTTCCATGTCTTCCTACAGATTAGCCTTGGGCTCCCAGGAGCCCATGGGACCCATGGCAGCTGTCCGCTTTGCTTGGGGAGGTTGAACCTTTTTGGCTTAATACACACTGCTGTGGTTTTGATGGGACTCCATGGGGGGACACTGGCATCGAGTCTGTGGGTTGCAAGGAAGTTGATTTTGGTAGACTTCAGCTGCTTCCTTCCAAACAGCACATGTGGGGTGCTGCGGGGTGCAGCCGGCCTCTCTGGTTGTGTGTCTGACATTGTCTGAGTCCCTTGGTGTAGTCTCCCGCCTCATCCTGTTCACCTCCTCCTGTGGCTAGCAGTGGCCCATGTGTCGTCTCTTCTCGCACTGAGCTTCAAGTATGGAAAGGAGCGGGCCCGCATTGAGAGGACCTCAATGAGAGAGAGGACCCCAGTGAGAGAGAGGACCCCCAGAGAGAGAGGACCCCAGTGAGAGAGAGGACCCCAGTGAGAGAGAGGACCCCAGTGAGAGAGAGGACCCCCAGTGAGAGAGAGGACCCCAGTGAGAGAGAGGACCCCCAGTGAGAGAGAGGACCCCCAGTGAGAGAGAGGACCCCCAGTGAGCTCTTCTTCCTGCACCAGAGACCTGGAGGCAGTGCAGGAGCCCGGCAGCTGAGCTCCGCGGGCCTGTTCTGTGCAGTGGCTGCCGGTGCTGTCCTGGATCCTGGCAGTGAGTCAGGCTCTCCTAGGGAGCTGGGGGGGGAGCCGGGAGCCACGGGGTCACCACCTCTCTGAGGTGATCTGACACACACCATGTTCCAAGCAAGTGCTTAAGCATTGTGAGGTTTTTTCCTCTCCTTTCAAGCAAAAATCTTCTCCATTTGTTCCCTGCTGTCAGTATTTCTTGGTATTTGAAGTCTTAACCCTCTGCAAATGGACACAGCCCATGCCTGGATTTGAAGGATGTGTCTGTGCGAAGATGGGTTGTGACTGAGAAGTGGAGACTCGCGTGGGGAAGAGAAGGGAGGGCTGGGCTGTTGTTTGACCTGTTTCACAGTGAGTGTTGGACAAGTGCAAGTTCACTGTCTCTCATTTTGACCTACTCCTTCAAATCACCCTGTGTCTTAACTTGAGAATGGCCATTGATAGGTAATTATTTCTTTTAGTTGATAGGACATCCTGTAGGGCAATGAGCCAGTGGAATGGGAGATAGGTCTTGCGTCTGTTGGCTCACTCCCTGAGTACAGGGAGTCAGGATGCCAACCTGGGATTCCTGCGTGGATGGCAGGGAGCTGGCATTAAACCTAGGCACTCGGCCGTGGGAATCAGGTGCCTCACCCGCAGTCAGTGGATTCTCACCTGTGTTCCCTCCAGTCTGATGAAAGCCTGGAAAGCAATTTTACCAAAGAAAGATACAAAGGAAAGCTGCGTTAAAGTGGGCTGTCCATGATGAGCGCTGGCTTTGTGTGCTGTTCGCAACAGTGCTGCTTGGCATATGCAGCACCCCTGTTTTGCTGGGTTAGGCTGGCACGCAGGCCCTACCGGGCTGCCCGCTGGGCTAGGCACACTCCCTTCTGTTGTCTGCACAGCCATCTTCAGCGCTTGAAAGGCCCCGTGTGTCCCAGGTGTTCTGTGGCTGCCTGCTCTCAGGAATCTCAGCCTTCTTTTTGCCTTCCCTGCCAGGGCAGAGGGCGGAAGACGACATGGTTACATGGGCCACCTCACGAGGATCGCCAACTGTGTTGTGCACAGCACGGATAAGGGTCCCAACAGCGCGCTGGTGCAGCGGCTCATCCAGGGTGAGTAAGTCAGACGCGGTGTCCATGTTCTGGGGTCAGAGAAAGGATTTGAGAATAAAATGGAATTACAGCGGTTCCAGTGGATTCTTGGGAACTTTCTTCATAGACTTTGCAGCTTATGGAGCGATTTAAATGAGGTTGGGACGGTGTGGTTCTTGACCAAGTCTCTGTTTGCGCCCGCCTGAGCCTCGGCCTGTGAGCCTGCCCTGTGGGGAGTGGCTGGCAGTCACCCACAGGCAGCGCTGAGCTGGGGTGCCTTTTGTTTCCGTTTCCTTCCCAGTTTCTCTGTACAGCCTGGGCACTGAATTTCTCTGTCTGGGGGATCGAGGCCTTTGTCAGCCTTTTCTCTGTCTTCTTGTCACTGCCACTAGGGGGTTGAGCTGTTGCTGCTCTGGCCTTAGGGCCCAGTCGGCCCAAGGGTGCTTGGGAGAGACTGCGTGGGTGTGGGGCAGCAGAGAGGCGTCCATCTCAGCCAGCCCTGGGCTCCATGCGCTCAGGCTTCTGCCCCAGTAGGGCGGCCAGGCCCTAGGCTTAGCTGCGCAGAGTGAACTGGCTCCTGCCCATTCCCAGCGTGTCCTCTCTTAGTCTGGAGCTGTCCAGAGGATTGGGTGGTGACAGAAGGCTTAGGGCTTGCCTGCCTGCTTGTCACAGTTGGTCTCTGTCCTTGCAGGCGGAAGGGACCATGTGATGCAGTCACATTTTTCACATCAGTCTGTTTTGTGGAAGTCACTTGCCAGGTGGTACTGTGTGTGCTACATATGAGTGTGTGTAGTCAGATTGCCAGATGACAGCTCTAGTCTTATAGGGCCTCAAAATCACCACCATGGTTTGATTTTATCAGAAAGTAGCTGCATTTCTTGCTCTATAGGAGGTAGACTTCCACTTACCCACATCCATCTGTGTGTTGGTCCATGGTGCAAGCATTTAGATGTCATTTTAAAGCAATTAACAAAACAAACAGGATGCTCTACTTCCATCCTCATCCCCACACTCCTTGAAGACCTCTGCGCTTCTCAGAAGAGGTGGTTGGAAACATTTTCCAACTGCAAGTTCTACCAAAGCACTTGTATAAGCTTGGTCGGGCCCTTGGCTAGATGGAGCCTGGCCTGTTGGGGGAGCCAGGATGGGGAGAAGTGGGGGTCCTAGGTCCTGGAAGTCTGTGGGGCTTGGTTGGGGAGGATTTCTAACTGCCTTCCTCTAAGCACGGGGCTGGCTGCTCGAGCTCCTCAGCTGCTAGGGAGTGCTCGCCACTGACGACCAGGTGGGTAGGCCCCTCTTGCTCCCGCTTCCTTCAATGATTTTGTCTGTGTGAGGTCACTGTGGTGATAACGCTTTTTCCTTTTCTCACTGAAGATCTTCCTGATGAAGTCAGAGAGCGATGGGAGACCTTCTGCACGAGCTCCTTAGGAGAGACTAACAAGCGGAACACGGTAGATCTAGTAGGTTCTACAAGGTTACGTTCATGTTGTCTCAGTGCCCTTAGCCTGTGCCTGCGTACTCGACATGGTGTGAAGGGTCCGGTCTGCCCAGTGACACTGCAGCCAAGGTTACGTTCATGGCTGTCTCCCAGGGAGAGAGGTTGAGACTCGCAAGTGCTCGCTCCTTCTCTGGTCGTCTCTTGACACCTGCCTCGGGTGACGGAGCGCGCTGTCATGCTGCCAGTTTCTGCTCACCGCCATCCCTGGCGCTTGGTCCCATTGTCTTCCACGCCTGCCGAGCAGTCCGCAGCCTGCCCTTGTGTGCTGGGGCCTAGCGCTCTGCCTGTTCCTCTAGATGCTTTCCGTCCTTGCTGACCGGGTAGCCCCTGACCCTAGAGAGCCCCCCGGGATTTGTAGGGGACTTGGAGAGCCCAACATTGGAGGCTGGAACAAAACTGATACTTTTTGCCAGGGAATAATGGCATTGGTAATTTTTTTAAAAGTATATATATATATATATGTATAAATATATTGGACTTTGGAATGTATTTTCTTAACACATTGAGTTTAAAGGTAAGTGTCCCTTTCTTTTGCTTGTGGAGATGGGGAGCGTTTCCCTCTGCACCCAGCAGGTTCTCGAGCTGCTGCCCTGACTGAGCAGCGCTGGTGCTCCGCAGCTGTGGTCCGAGTTCCAGTACACCCCACACTTCAGATGGCACAGAACCAAAGGGCAGGCGCTGGCGGCTCCCACGCCTGCGGGCTAGCTGCCCTGCCTCCGGCCCTGCCTCCTGCCGGACAGCCTAACTGGAGCGGATGAGGCTGCCTTTTCCTATACTCACGACAGAGTTTGGGCTGATGGCTTTTTAAGGTGATAAAACAATAAACTCAGGAAACATACACAGTCGGAGGGACTAGCAAGTTGAGATAATTACAGCAAGTGAAGTCTGTGGTTCACTGTTGGCCTTTGGGCCGTGGTGTGCGTGTAGAGAAGCTTGGTCACCGGGATCACCAGCGCAGGGCTTGTCTTGGTGTTACCCAGTTGGGGCTGGCTTGGGTTTCTCGGCATGCTGGCTAGCCTCGCTTGAGCTGTGTCCGTGCGGGACACTGGCGGTGTTTGGCAGCGTGCAGCTGCACCCCGTACCTGCCAGGTCAGACCACCGTTCACAAGTTCCCTGCGGACTCTGTGCTGAGAATGCCCTCCAGGGAGCTTTTCTGTGTGATTTGTGTTTTAATAAGGGAATCTTTTGAGAGGATTAGTTCTGATTTTCAAAGGTAAAGCCAGAAATGTGCAGGTGAACTTACCAGCTTTTTGAGCAGAGCCCCGCCCCCTCTGGGTGCCAGCACACTCCCCTGTGAGCAAGCTGCAGCACAGTGCGCCACCCCGCGTGCTGCTGGACACTTGGCCATGGCTTGGGGAGGGGTGCGCACCCCACTGCAGCTACATCACACCTGCGTGGAGAACTCCTGAGCCCTGGCTACCACTCCAAGTGAGGCTGTCCCTCCAGGACTACAGGGCTGTCCAGCACACAGAAGTAGGGGACAGCTAGGGGCCGCTTTACAGAGTCCTCTTGCATGGCGACCCTCCTACGAGCCGCCCTCTTCCACAGTCCCTGAGATGTTTGGGTTAATCTCTACGCCCTTCTGTGTGGCCTCGGAGTTTGTTCAGAACCAGCTCCCCTTGGCCTCACGGCCTTACTTCAGGAGCTTTGTTCTGTGGCTGCCTGTGCATCCCTTCTCAGCCACTGTGGGCGTCTCTGCTGCCTCCGCAGACGCTTTGCTGTCAGCCACATCCGGGGCTCCTGCACTATCAGGAGTATCCATTTAAAAGAGCTTGGTCAGTGCAGGGAGCCTTACTTGCAGAAGTGGAACCCAGAGTTCCAGCGCGCGACTTGCCGTGCACAGTCCAAGTGAAAACTCGCTTCTAGGAATGCTGGTCCAGTGCAGGCTCCTGTCCCCAGCCAGCCTAGGGTAGAGAGGCGTGGTCCGTGAGGTGGCTGTGCTGCTCAGTGGGCCCTCACAGCTCCCAGGACTCACTCTGGCTTCTGCAGGAGCCTAGAGTCAGACACCTTGGGCTTGATTCAGTGTCCCACTGTGTTGCCTGGGCTGGGTCTCCTGGCTCGGCACTGAATCACATGTGTGTGCCCTGCATCTGGCACACTGTGTCAGCCCCACACGCCTGTTGCTTCTCCTGGGACGTCTTCATTAAGCTGCCTCTGAGGCATTTAAAGTATTTTCTTTTGTTTGTTTCTGTCATTCCAAAATTTGTACACTGGCTTTATATGTTGCCTGCTTTTATGTTGAGAGTCTATTATAGATAAAATTTGGTTTTTATTAACTATGAAGTCCTTTGTGTTGACCACGCCCTCTGTGTGCCGATTCCAACAAGGATTCAGGCAGGGTGCCTCTGGCTGAGTACTGGGAAGGCCTTTGCGCTAACTGCACGTAGGAGTTGGTGTCATCCGTGGCCTGCCTCCCCACTGAGGAAGGCTTCTCCTCCAAAGCCCAGAGGTGGTTGGGGAGGTTGTGTGGAGCGACACCAGTGTGCAGGTGCCACGAACCTGGAGAGTCAGCAGGTTGCCATGGGCTGAGACGGGGTGATTGTCACCCCCGGTCCTGCAGATGCTGGGACAGCCCTGGCAGCACACTGTGAACTGCAGCTTGCTGTGTACTAGTTACTTCACAGTTTTCCTGACTGCTCATCGCCACAGTAAGGGTAATATGTTTGCTTACTCCTCTAACAACACCTAAGAAAGCCGACATCTTATTAAGGAATATGGAAAGTATTATCTCAGAACTTTTTTTGCTATTGCAAGTGTACTTAACATATGTCTAGCTTGGCAAGAGTACAGTTAAGGAAGCATTGGTTAACTTGTTGCCATCTTTGTTTTCATTTAGTGGCTTGTTTAGTATACACTGCTTCTCTAAGTGTCTGGCTGGCTGCCGAGTGCCAGATGCTGAGGCTGCAGTAGAAGCAAGACTTCTTAAAGTCTCTTCTTCATCAGAGATCTGTAAGCAGACAAATTTTTAAAAAGCAAAATGCACACCCATGTGTCTGAGAAGATGTGTTGTGGTTGGCAGGTGGTTAGGGAGTGTTTTGGACCAAGGAAACCCCCTTGAGAAGCCAATGCTTGTGGGGGCTTGGTGGGGAGGCTGATAGGTGCTCCCGTGCCCCGCGCATGTGTGAACTGGGAGTGTCTCTAGGGAAGTAATGAGAAAATGGTCCACAGGGCACACCGGGCTTTGTTCTTTCTTTTAAGCAAGCTGAGAAACCAAAGATTGATAGATTTTATTCGAAAGACAAAGTTGCACAGAATTCTTCCATCTGCTCATTGATTTCCCCAAATATCTACAATGTCCAGAGCGGAAACAGTTTGAAACCTTGAAACCGGGAGCTTCTTCCGCTTCTCCCATTAGGTTCAAGGGCCTAAGCAACTGGACCTCTTTCCACTGCTTTCCCAGGGGCACCATCAGGGAGATGGATTGAAAGTGCAGCAGCCAGAACTGGTGCTCATGTGGGATGCTGGCACTGCAGGTGGCTGCTGTCCACTTCTGCCACAGCGCTGGTAAACGCTTTGGTAAAGGGCTTTGGTAAACGCCCTTAGACGGTCACTGCAGTGAGGTGGCTCACATGGCTGGTTGCATCTGAGCAGGTGCTGGCTACGCAGAGAAAGCACAGTGCTCGGAGTTGTGTACGCAGCACCTGCTGCAGTAGAGGCCCCGGGCCCAGGGCAGGCCTCAGCATTGGGTTCCTGACCTCAGCCTGGGGGTATGCCGCAGAAGCATGCCTTCCGTTAGCGGAAGTGAAGGTGTCTGCACTGTGTTCCTGACAGTAACTCCTGGTCCTGCGAGGAGGGATCAGTGTCTGGCACGCAGCAGCTAGGTTCACGGGCGTTAGTTTCCTTCTCACACTTCATTAATGAACTGGCAGAATCTTTTGTAGGAAGGAGTGAGAGCATACGTTGTGTTCCGCTTGGACTTGCGTGCTTCCCCAGCTTGGCTTTGGGCTGGCTGCTGTTTTTCTGCCCAGCCACAGGACCACAGTGCCCACGTGCTGGCTGGCCAGCCACAGGGACCAGTTCTTGGTCTGCTGGCGTGTAGCTCTACTGTAAGATGCCAGCCACCATGAACGCACATCGCTGCACATTGCTCTGCGCTCGGGGCTCTCCTGCAGTGTGGCCGCAGAGCTGCTCTTCACGCAGTTACGGGCCCGTCGCTGTCCCTGGCTGCAGAGTCTTTGGTTTCACCAGGCCAGATTCACAAGCAGAGTTCAGGTGCCTTGTCTGAAAGCACTAGGGCTGTTAGAGCCCCATCGTGCTTGGGTTAGTGTCTTTACTGAAACTGGCCAGAGAGAAAAAAAATGAGTCTTCGTGGACAGTGATGAGTTAGGCATTCCAAAGTCCATCCCCCAAGAGACAGCTCAGCATTGCACTTTGAGCTGCTCGAACCAGCACCAGGCAGTTTTCACAAAGCAGCCCAGGCCCATGCTGCCACCCCCGGCCATGTGCGTGGCCTCAAGAGCTGGCAGGTAGCACCTGCTCCTGTCACGTCTTCCCCTAAGGACGGGCAGTGTTCTCTGTCCCAAACGCTGCTGCAGACCAACAGGCCGGATAAGAGTGCACAGCCCTCACAGGTGCGGCTCTCGTGCCTGGCCTGGCCAGCTGTTCCTGCCTATGTTTCCTATATCAGAGTTTCTGTTGTTAGTGTTGTGTTTAATCATTTGTTTATCTTGATTATTAATTGTTAATCTATTCTCCCCTAATAATTGTGACATTTATGAATTAATAAACATCACTTAACCATGAATTGGTGAGCAGTTCATGTTTGTGTTTTTGCTTAACTACCAAAAGTCGGTTGTAAGTTCTGAGCAGGCGGATCGGGGTCAGGAAGTGTTGGCTCACCCTGTGTTTAGTGTTCAGGGTCAGGAAATGTTAAAGTGACTGTGTATCTGGAACCCTGACATGCAGTGGCTGCTGGTGGCCCCTGGGTTACAGCTCAGCCCCCAGGTCTGGCATGTGCGGACATTTGCGCCGTTACTTCTGCCTGCCCCCTTTAAACGTGTCCTGGAGTTCCTCACTTGGAACCGGGTAGATGGAGCAGTCTGTCGTGGTGCTGCTAGGCTGCGGCGGTGCAGGGACTGGCCCCGGGCGCAGCGGGCGGGTGCTGCCCAGGACGTGAGCCTGGCGTCTGGGGAGGATTCGACAATGTGACTGTATTTACTTTTGGTGGTTCTGTTTTGAATTGTTTTTCCTGTTACACGTTGAGAGAAAAGATAAATGTGAATTTTCCGTAAAAATGCTGATACATATGTCCAAAACTTCTCTTTGTTAAAGAGTTTTCTACATTTTTATACATATAGGTTACAACCTGCCATATTCATTCATCCAGTGATGATGAAATTGACTTTAAAGACACGGGTTTCTCACAGGATTCCTCTTTGCAGCAAGTGAGTCATGCCTCAAGCTTTGCTTTATCTGTTTATTTCCAATGCTTCGTGGAGTCACATCGGAGTCAGATGGTGTGCGGAGTGGGCCTTGGGATCACTCTTAGTGCAGGATAGAGGGTGGGGGCGGGCGGGGCAGGGGTCTGTGGATACTGGTGGGGAGTGGGTGGTCCCTGCAGCCATGACAAGTGCAGTGAGTCCCCTGGAGCCTCCCACCCAGCAGGCATGTCTCCCATTTAGGTGGGTTTTTGCATGAAAATCTGTGGGTAAGAATAATAGAGTAAAAGTATCCTTGAACCAAATGGCTTACACCAATAAACCAGGACAATTCTGGTTTAGTGATTTCCAAACTGGTAGTGGAAGTAATTCGTTGTTACTCCTGCCTGCAAATTCTCTCCTTATCAACAGCTTATCATCTTGGTGGTAGTCAAAGAATGCAAATGCTATGATTTATCATTCATTGCTGATTCCTAGAGAAGTGACAGTGTCTACTAGGTATCAAGGTTGTTAACTACAAATGAAAGCCCTTTTGCACGTTGCTGGCTAGTCCTGTGCAGGGGTTGGCACCACGATCTCGCACCTGGTAGAATGCGTGGAGACCCCTTCCCAGCCAGCCCTGAAGGTGTGAGAGTTTTTTTGTTTTGTTTTGTTTTCTTTCTTTCTTTTCTGTCTTTGGAGTCTTGGCCAGGCCAGGACGAAGCAAGTAGCGGCCGGCCAGCCCTGGCTTGTGACTGCATGCCTGTCACAGCAGGCTGGTCTAGCCAAGGATCGGCTTGGGTTTGACGCTGTGGCGCTGGAGCATTCGGCTTTTCCTCCTCAGCCTGAGGTTTGCCAGTGACTTGACCCTGCTGCTGCCTGATGGAAGCCAGTCCCCTACAGGCAGGGGGCTACTGAGCCACACCTCGCAGCCTTCTGCCCTGTGCCCTGGCTGGCTGGTTTTTTTTTTTTTTTTTTTTTTTTTTTCTGGAGTGAGAATCTTTTAATAACTCTATTCATTTCCAAAGAACAATAAATACAGGCATTATAAGCAGTATATATAACAGTAAGATTTTCTTTAGATACAGAAAGCAACTACTTTTACACAACTTAAAGACCAAACACTTTTTTTTCAATAGCACAAAGAAAAGCTTCACAATGGAGGAAATTCCTAGTCAAAATGAAAGTTCTTCTCAACTCTGAACAGTGAGGGCCCCGCTCCAGGTGCTTGGCCAAGATCAGGAAGGCTGGGGGTGGCACTCAGCTCCGCGCAGCCGCAGTCTGAGGTTGCTCCGATTGAAGTTGCTTGCCCAGATATTCGCAGTTGTGCACCATGAGCTTCTGCACAGCCAGCAGAGCGTTGTAGCGGACCTGCTGGTCTTCATGATGCATGTGATTCATTACCAGCTGTTTCCCACCGAGCTGTTCAATCACCCGTTTCCCCTGGGATAATGTCCAACGTCATGAGCAGCCACAGCTAACACCTGGGGATCATCGATACCTCGAGAAGTTTGGTCGAGATTTTTAAGAGTTCATAATTCTTTTCATTTAGTCTCACTGCATTCTCTCTCCAAAACTTCTCAGATTTGTGCACAGGACTCCACTCCAGTCTTCCAGATTTCAATTCTGAACTGTATTCATCAAATGAGCTTAGGTCAGCCCTGTGTGCCAGCCTCTTCTGCCCCGGAGCTCCTGGGGCTGCAGGAGTCTGCATTGCTCTGCCCCTAGAATGAAGCGTGACGGTGCTTCATGCAAACTGTCAGAGTGATTTGAAGTTAAGCTTCAGGAATGACAAAGCCCTCGGCGTCTGCTGAGTGTGCGGGTGGCCTGAGAGACTGAACCACTGGTCAGGAGGAGTCCTGTTCTGTCACCTGCTTCCAGAACCCTCAGTGTTCTGGAGAGTTCTCAATTCTTTGGATCCCTTTGGCTGTGCGCTGGATGTGCATGTAGAGGCAGGCCCTGTCACACCCTGGACACGGACACAGCTCCACCAAGTGCCCACTTAATATAGACCTCTGCCAGCAGGAAGGACTGTTTTCTGATTGAAAGCTTCCAGTGAACATTTTGAAGAAAAAACAATAGCCTGTTGAAAAAATGGAGTGTAGGTTCATTGAGGAGTTCCCTTCTAGTCTCCATAAAATTCAGAATATCACTTTGCAGCTGTCAGCTTGTTCAGGTTCTTGAAGTTGGGCCTTAGCTTGATGCTGTCCCCCCAAGTGTAGGCGTGTGGCCAGATGGTTTGACAAACATGAGCTCACCCTAGCACGGCGGGGCTGTCTGTGGTGGCCAGTGTCCGGGCCCTGCCAGCCTGCTTCTGCCCAGCAGAGACCAGGAGGAGTGAGTTCTCTGTGCAGGCTGTGACTGGGCAATCAGGCTTCCGACTGGCTGCAGAGCGCCGGCCTGATCTACCCCGCCCAGCACCCCTTCCTTTGTGGGGCCGTCCAGGTGGCTGGCATGCTGAGGTTGGCTTGTGTTAGGTGGGTGTGGGCTGCCTTCTTGCTGGGGCACACACTCCCTGACCGCTCGGGACACGGGGCTGAGCAGTGCGCTTCCTCACTGTTTGTTTATTTATTTTTATTACAAAGTCAGATACATAGAGAGGAAGGACAGTGCACTTTTTAGAGTGGCCACAGGCATGCCATGTTCTCTAGGTTGAGAGGCCTCCAATGTTGGAGGCACTTCCTGTATTCTGGTTCCAGGCATACAGGAACAATATTGACCCTGTGCCCTCTGACCTGTGGAAAGACCAGGGTTTTTTTTTTTTTTTTTTAAAGATTTGTTTTTATTGCAAAGTCATATTTAGAGAAAAGGGGAGACAGAAAGATCTTCCATCTGCTGGTTCACTCCCCAAGTAGCCACAACAGCCAGAGCTGAGCCGGTCTGAAGCCAGGAGCCAGGACTTTCCTCCGTGTCTCCCTCATGGGTGCAGGGTCCCAAGGCTTTGGGCTGTCCTCGACTGCTTTCCCAGGCCATATGCAGGAAACTGAAAGAGAAGTAGAACAGCTTGGACATGAACTGGCACCCCGTATGGGATTCCAGTGTGTGCAAGACGAGGGTTTAGCCACTAGAATACCATATGTGCCAGGCCCCTGAAAGACCAGCTTTTATATTGTCCAAGAAGCCATAAAACGGTTGGGCCTTGAGGACCGCAGTGTGTCCCTTTGATTTCCCTCTGTAGGATCACAGGGAGCTGCTTGTGTTGCTGGTTTGGGTGTCTTGCCCCTAGGTGGGTGACCAGACAGAATGAACGGCCGTGTCTCTCTGTACATGCTTATCTGTACTTATGGTCTGCTTTGAATTGTAACAACAGTGTTGGGAATTTCTTCCCTTTTATGTCTCCCCTAAAAAAATCATAATATGATTACTGGAGAGTAAAAATATTTTGAAGAGAAAGAATCAAAATAGTCAAGCACCTTTTCCTGGTGCGGCCACATTTCCGATGTGCCTGTGGATGGGCCCTGTGCGTGCCCCACTGGCACCTGCTCTGCTGCATTGCTTGTTGGCTCTTCAACGTACCCTGAGGGCCAAGCACACATTTTCCAGGGAGTGGGGTACTTCCTGTTTGGCCTGCATGGTTTTTTGTTTGTTGGTTTGTTTGTTTCTCAACATCCCAGCCACAGTGCAGCTTCCCAGAACCTGGGCCTGTACCTCTGCTCTGGGCCAGTGCCCCCACAGCACGACCGTGTTGGTGCCCTGTGCCAGGGTTGCCGTGTCAGGTGCAGCGGAGCTCGCCCCACGCCTCCCTAGGCTCCTGCAGGGGTTCTCTGGATAGGAGAGCATTAGCTCAAAGGGAGAAGGGGAGAGGCCTGTGGCAGGCCATCTTGCATGCGGCCAGTGAGCTTTGCGTTCTCTATCCAGCCATGCTGCATATAGCATTTTCCAGATTCAACAGAAGATACCTTCCAAAGCCAAATATAAGGGTTGTTTTGTCATGTTCTGTGATTTGGATTATCCATGCCATGATTCCCTGCTGCCAGCATGAGTCAGGAGAGTAGGGCCATTCCCACCACTGCCGGCCACAGAATCTGCATGCTGTGGTCAGTCATGTGCCGGGGGTAGCTGGTTTAACTCAGTGAAGCTGCCTTCTTCCCAGCAGGTGGCTTCAGGCTCAGACAGCACCTGCCACTCCCACCGTCCCCCCCAGACCTGCGTTGATCGTGGGCAGGGTGCGAGGTGGCCCATGGCTGTCTTCATGCTCCTTATTGTCAAGTGAGGTGTGAGAAAGAACTTGCAGATTTCATTTGTTTTCTCAGACCTGTTTTAGAATATGCACATTTTCATGGAGCTGATGAAAACGCTCCCGTGCGTCAGCCTGTGGTGTCCCGGGTGCAGGTCAGCCCGGAGCGGCTCATGGGGATTCAGTTGAGTAGTAAACTTGGCGCCCCTTTGTAAGGGAGGAGGGTTAGCCCTGTCAGCCTCATGCTCTCAGCAGCTTCTAGACTGCACGTGTGTTGAAGAAGAGGCAGTGTCTGTATGGTCACGGTGTTATTTTTACTCTGTTGCTATTTCTCTGTAGATTCAGGAGGGTGGGGGATGGGGTGGCAAGGAGGGAGGGCAGGTGGCTACCACTTGTTGGGTCTAGAGGTGACACTCTCACGTGACCCTGGGCCACCTCTTTAAACAAGGCTTAGTCCAAGCCTCTTCGTAAGGAGAATCGCCAGCCAAGGGCAGCACGGTCACTCACTGTTTCTTGTAGGCATGTCTGCACTTGAGTGATTTGTCGGCCAAATTTCAAACATTTCCTGCTTCCATAAATTGTGTCTGAAAGTATTGTTTTAAAAGCACGCCAACATTTACAGCCCTATGGCTAGATAAATAAGATGGCGTATGAGAGACAAATGGGCAAATAGTATGTGGAATGTCATTAGAGTCATTGTATCACTGTCACTGGCCCTGGGGTGCCAGGCCTTTTCTGATTATCAGATGCAACAAATGACGTCCAATTTTATTGACCAGTTCGGCTTCAACGATGAGAAGTTTGCAGATCAAGATGACATTGGCAAGTGAGTATTCCTCCTCTTCCCTAACTCTGTTGAATGTACCTGCTCTGTATGAGACTTGGGACTCTGGCCCTTAGGGAATCCCCCGCCCCGAGGTAGATCTTCCTTCCCTGGGATCGGCTGGTTGGGTTATGCTGGGCTGGGAGCCTGCATGTGGAACCTGACCCCCTTGAAAGAAACTGGTCCTTCCTTAGCCTTCCCTAGGCACTCTGCCATCCACCTCCTGCTTCTGACAGGGTCTGACCCCATTCTTCCCGACTGCTCGGTGGCACAGTGACATTGGGCATTGCTTGGGCAGCTGGCCAGGGCCAGGTCAGCAGGAGTTGCTCTGCCCGCGGGGTGGGGGTCTAGGGTGACCCCTGAGACGTGGTTCTTTCCGAGGGTCACAGGCAGGATGAGCGGACATGGGTGTCACTGGCTTTTGGGGTGAAGGAGGGACTGAGGCAGCCAGCGTTTCAGGATTGGAGAATTAGTCTTAGAAAAGACTTGTGATGATGAGCACCCCGTGTCTTGTGGAGCCTTGGAGCCATGTCTTGTCCGTCGTTTGTGGGACTATGACCAGTGAAGGTTTTTTTTTTTTTTTTTTTTTTTTTAAGATTTATTTTTATTATTTTTCATTGGAAAGGCGGATATACAGAGAGGAGAGACAGAGAGGAAGATCTTCCGTCCGATGATTCACTCCCCAAGTGAGCGCAACGGGCCGATACTATGCCGATCCGAAGCCAGGAGCCTCTTCCGGGTCTCCCACGCGGGTGCAGGGTCCCAAAGCTTTGGGCCGTCCTCGACTGCTTTCCCAGGCCACAGGCAGGGAGCTGGATGGGAAGCGGGACTGCCGGGATTAGAACCGGCGCCCATATGGGATCCCGGGCGTGCAAGGCGAGGACCTTTAACCACTTGCGCCACCGCACCGGGCCCCAGTGAAGGCTTTTATGGCATGGAGAAGCTGTCCCAGTTCATGGGACACTCTGCCTGGCCCAGAGTGTACGTGCTGCTCCATGGGACTGCCCGCTGTCAGCAGCAGGGAGGACTGTCCGCTGCCTTCTAGGGAGAGCAGAACATGCCAGAAGGTGTCTGCCCAGTCCGGGCCCTCACCTAGAGGAAGTCCACTTGTGTCCTGGCATTTCCATGTCTGGATGCTTCCTTGGGGCAACTTGTGTGTGTGCTGCTCATGGTGATGACTGATCACGGCAAGTCCTTGCAGGATTGGAACTGCCGCAGCTTGGGGTGTCAGGGCTGCATCCCGGGGAGAAATGCCGGGCCCAGGGCTTCGTGAGGCTTTTACATGGCTTTCCTATTTTAACTTGGTTGTTGTTTACAAATAACCTTTTTTCTGGATTCCATTAAAATGCCTGTGAGCTCGTGCTGGTGGTGGATGCTGACTAGGTTAAGATGCCAGTCAAGGCACCATCGTCCCTCCTCTCTCAGAACTGCTGGCTCCCTGCCTGGCTGTGGCCCTGGCTCCCTGGCAGGCAGGGCAGCGGATCACGTGGATTGGGCTGAGTTCAGTTCCTGGCTGCTGGCATGTTCTTAGCCCCGGGCCAGACCCCAGTGTTTGCCTGTAGGGCCCTCACTGAGCCTGTCTGAGTCCAGCCAGCTCCTGCACCCTGAGCGAGCTCCTTGGTGGCCGTCCTTGGCGCAGGAAGTTGTGTCGGTTTCTAGTTAAGGGGTGGTCATGGTGGTGTAAGCATTTCCAATTAGATAATGTCATCCTCGCCTTTCTGTGGGCTCAAAGTCACTAACAACTCCTAACCTGCATTCTGTTTGTAGTGTTTCTTTCGATCGGGTGTCAGACATCAACTTTACCCTCAATACGAATGAGAGCGTAAGTATAGCTCTTTCCTGTGCAGAGTGAGAGGTGAGGAGTGGGGTGGGTTTTGTTGCTGCCGGGAGTGCGTGCCGTGTGCACTGGTCCACTCTGTGTAGGATTCCCCTGTCCCCGCCCACTGAGGTGATGTCCGTCCAACTTGTAAAACCAGGGTCTCTGACTCCCCAGAGAAACGGGGCGGCTGGGGTACAACTCTGCCAAGGGTGACTCTTGATCTCCCTGGGGTCGCTGATGGATCAGGCTGGAGGCTCCAGATTGGGGCTGCTGAGGGTCAGCACTGCTGGGCGGCTGCTCATTCGCCCTGGGGCCAGTGTGCGTGACCAGGTGGCAGGGAGCACACGCAGGGGCGGCCTGAGCCCGCGGCCAGCTGCGACCAGTTTCACACAGAAGCCGCGGGAGAAGTTTACACTTCATGTGGGGAAGGTGATGGGCACCGTTTTGGTTTAAAGCAAGTAGAAAAAATGCAGTTTGCATTGGTAACTTTTGGAAGAAAGTAACCTGACTTTGAATTTGCTTTTCTTGTTTTCGTTTAGGGAAACATTGCTCTGTTTGAAGCGTGTTGCAAGGAGAGGATACAGCAGTTTGACGATGGCGGCTCTGACGAAGAGGACATCTGGGAGGAGAAGCACATCGCCTTCACGCCGGAGTCCCAGAGACGGTCCAGGTGAGCGCGTCGCCATTGCCGTGTGACTCCAGGACGGTGCTGCTGACTGACCCGGGCCGGCTGTGGCTCGGAGCCAGGTCACTCGCGGTCTGCCGGTGTCCGGGCACCGTCATGACAGGTGTGGTGCTGGTGGCCTCTGCGTGGATGGGGGCACTCGTGCCCTCCCCAGCAGCAGCAGACCTCTGGCTAGAGACAGAAAGTTCTGCCCCGAGGAGTGCTCATTGGTGGCCTTGGGTGCGGTCTTGGTTTTCAGTCACTAACCCCACAAGTCTGTGACCTTGCATGACTGCAGGTGCTCCTGCAGAGTCCGATCCCAGAATACAGGAGCATCGCATGACAGGTGAACTTGATGTTTGCCTCCCTTGTCTGGAGTCAGTGTTGGCGTGTGGCCTCACACCCCAAGGGAGCTGTAGCGCCTGCCTACCTGCCAGGGGTGCCCACCCTCGCTCTGGAGCTGATGGGAGAGTGTGGCAGGGTGGTCCCGCCCAGCTGCTTCCTCTCCTCCTACCCAGTGGTCCTTGCCAGGCTTCTTGCCTTGTCATCACAAGATGGCTGCCTCCGCTGCAAGGCAATTCAGTGGGAGGCGGGCATCCCCAGGAGGAGGCCACACCCCGTCGTCATGAACTCCACCATTTCCCAGAGTGATCGTTGCCAGTGGTATCTGGAGGCAGCCTGGCTCCACGCCCGCACACGACTGCAGAGTATAGCCCATCCTGCACCAACAGCGCAGGTGTAGGGCAGCGGAGACCCTATTCCGGTGATGGCCCTGCACTCCTCACACAGCACAGGCTGAGGTGGTGACGCGCGGTCAGGACCTCAGCGTCCCCAAGCCTTCCCTGCCATCCGTGGGAAAGTCCCCTCAGGGCAGACCACATTCAGGCTGAGTCCCAGCACGTTCACTAGCTGACCAAAATGAAATGAAATTAGAATTCTCAGGAATCAACCCCCCCCCCACCCCCCGCCAGACACATGAGAACTTAGGGGCTGCATCCATGTGGGAGACACAGAAGAGGCTCCTGGCTCTGGCCTGGCCTGGCTCTGGCATGGGCACCCATGTGGGGACGTGAGCTAGTAGGTGGAAGACCTCTGCCAACATGCCCAGAGAAGCTACGGTGGCATCAGCAAGGTTAAGTGGTGCAAGGCCACTGGCACTGCTCCTGTGCATTCTGCAGTACACAGTTGAGATGAATGGCTGGCCATGTAGGGGAAACATGACATAAACATGACAAGGCTGTGTAAGATCTGTACAGTGAGAAGATGAAACTGCTGAGAAAGACACCTGGACAGACGTTTACAGACCGGGGACTGCATCTCGTCAGATTAAGCCAGCACCCCGTGTGAGTGCTGGGTCGAGTCCCCCTGGTTCTCTTCATGTCTGGGCCCTGCCTGGGCTGTGGAAGACCCTGGTGGCCTCCAGCTAGGAAACAAACCAGAGAATGCAAGGTGTCTCCAGAACTCTGCCGTATCAGTACATCAATAAAAGGGTTTGGGTTTTTACACATACAAATCCTGAGGCATTTTTTGATTCGTAACAAAGTGATTCATATTAAGTACAGAAATGCTAGGGTCTAGAAGATCACCTTCCGTAGGGACCGTGCTGGGAGGGACCCAGGAAGACGGGCAAGGCACGAGGCCAAGGCAGGGCCGTGGGGAGAGGCCCGGCTCAGCAGCTGTCCTCTGCCCAGGGGTCACACGAGGGCAGTGGGACTGTGGAAGTCCCCCGAGAGAACTGTCTGACCTGGTTAGGCACCTGCGTCCTGCACACGCCCACACACTGCAGGAAGAGAAGTTCCACCAAGTGCAGCTTAGTCCTCATCCTAAAGCTTGTTTGCATATCACGTCTGATGAAGGAATTCTGGACAGAGGTAAGAATCTACTCCAGTAAGGATAGCAATTTTAAAGTGCACCGTAAGTGGGAAAAGCAGATATGGGGATTCAAGTAAGCTTGAGGGAAGTCCCAGCGCCTCCTGGCCTGGGGGATGGCGCACTGCTGGACGGCTGCCAGGTCAGCTCTCACGCCCCATGGGCGGTGCCGGTGGGCAGTGCCCTGGAGTGGAGGTGCGGTGCAGTGGGATTTCTGTGTCGGGTGAGCTGTGGCGAGTTCAGAGCAGCGTTAAATGTGTTCCTTTCTCCTAGCTCGGGGAGCACGGACAGCGAGGAAAGCACGGACTCTGAGGAAGAAGATGGGGACAAGCAGGACCTGTTCGAGTCCGGCGGTGCCGGCACAGAGGACAAGATGGAGGTGGACCTGAGCGAGCGTGAGTGGCTTCCTGGGCTGGCTTCCCCGGAACGGTGTCGGTGCAGGCGTCTTGCTGGTGGCCACCCCTCTACCGCAGAGCCTGTTGGAGTGGATGGGGCCAGCTGCCAGCTGTGAGGGCCTTTAGGGTCAGGCATGGAGAAAGCCACTGGGCACGCTGGTGCTTGGGGCAGCCTTAGGAGCTCACCCTGCCACCTGCCCAGTGAGTGCCCGAAACCCCTACATTCCCCGAGAAAACGTCGCAGCTTCTCAGTTGCCTAGGACCCCCGAGTTAATTCTGCAGCTTCTCTTAGCCACACCAGCTCCTTGTATCCCAAAGGCCTTTTTATTTATTTATTCATTCATTCATTCATTTAAAATTTGATATATTTATTTGAAGGTACATTACAGAGTGGTGGTGTGCCGTCTGTTGGTTGAGTCCGTGAATGGCTAAAGCCAGGAGCCTAGGACCCCATCCAGGGGTCTCACTTGGGTGGAAGGGTCCCGAGCACTTAGACCAACTATGCTGCTTTCCCAGGAGCGCAAGTGGGGAGCTGTGTGGGCAGTTGAATGGCTGGGACTCTTGCGCAGCTCTCACGTGATGTGCTGGCATCACAGCTCCAGCACGCAGTTCTAGAGGTCAAACCTCATGGGGGGCTCAATCAGGCCCTCGTGACCCCTGAGCCGAGTGCAACCCTGGCTCCCACTGCGTGCCCTGGGCCAGACTGAGCCAGCCAGCACCGGGGCAGAGCTGGGTTGGAGGAGGCTGTGGGTGGGTGATAGGCGCCTGGCTCCCATGCAGCCCCCGGCAGCCCCACACACAGTTCATGACAGCCTGTGTCTGAGAAATGTCTTAAGCTGCTGCAGTGGTTCCGGTAACATTTGTCTTTCAGCACCCAGCTGGTCAGCCAACTTCGATGTCCCCATGGAGACCACCCATGGGACCCCCTTGGACTCGGTGGGGTCTGATGTGTGGAGCACAGAGGAGCCCATGCCGACGAAAGACACTGGCTGGGCGTCGTTCGCAGAGTTCACACCCTCCCTCAGGTGAGCAGTGTGTGTCGTCATCCGCCGTCCTGGGTGTGTGCAGGTCCTAGGCAGGGGGAGGCAGGGACCCAGCTCTGCGTCCCCAGAGAAGCAGCACCCAGGTGCCACTCCAGGTGCCACTCCAGGAGGGGCTGAGAGCATGTGGCGCCTGGACACGCAGGGACAGGACCTGCACGGCTGCCCTGCTCTCAAGTCTAGGGGGACTCAGACCTGCTGTGGCAGGCCAGTGCCTGGTGGGCCTCCCCTGCTGCTGCATCCAGGACTCTGACCTGCTCGCCTTGGTCCTTAATGGCGCCGGCAACACCTTAGCAGAAACTGAGGCCCTAAGGTGTCTGTCCACGGACGAGCAGTGTGCACCCTCCTGCTTGAATGACTGCTTGCAGCCGGCGGTGACTGAGCAGTTAGCTGAGCATGGCCTGGAGGCGGTCCGAGCTGCTCGCGAGGTGTGCAGCACTGGGCTTCTCAAGAATGAGGGGTTCTTTTGTGTTAAGACTGACTGACTGTTACCGGAAAAGCAGATTTGTGGACAGAAGGATAGATCCTCGTCCACTGGCTCGCTCCCCAAATGGCTGCAGCGGCAGGCTGAGCTGAAGCTGGGTGCAGGGGCCCCACCACTTGAGCCATCTTCCGCTGTTTTTCTCAGGCCATTAGCAGAGGGCTAGATCAGAAGTTGAACAGCCTGAATTTGAACTGTCAGTGGCAGCGGCTTAACTCGCTGCACCACAGCACTGCCTGTTTGTTTCTGTGGGGGCTGTTGGTTTGTTGGCATCTGGTTCCTGGCTACCCTGTGTTCAGATCTCAGGAGGACTGGCTGATGACTGGCACAGCACGGGAGCGGGGCAGGTGCAGGAGGTGGTGTCCCCTCCTAGCACGTGTCCACAGCAGCCTCACAGAGGCGCGTTCTCCCAGGCAGTTCCACTTAAGGGAAGTGAGGGAAGCCCAGGGAGTAGGTCAGTTGCTGCCTGAGGAATGTGCCTATGGCTCAGGCGGCTGGTCCTGGAGCTTGCTGGCTTGGGCGGGTAGGAGAGTAGGGGCATTTCTAGCCAAGCCCCGCTGGCATTGTTGCCTGCCCGTCGGCTGTGTCCCTGGCCCCTGTGTCCCCGGGCTCTGCGCCCCTTTGCTCGAACGCTGCTGCCTCGCCGAAGCAGCCCCTGGCATTGGTTCCCCGCTCCTGACATCGGACTGTCTCTTTTCTGAAAGCACAAAAGATTCCTTACGGAGTAATTCTCCGGTGGAAATGGAAACCAGCACGGAGCCGATGGACCCCCTCACCCACAGCGCGTCTCCCCTGGCAGCACAGCCGGAGGGTGAGTGTGCCGAGCAGGCGGGGCCGGAGCCACCAGGAGCTGGGAAGGCACGTGGGACAGCTGTGCATGTGAGCACAGCACATCGTGTGTGTGTGTGTGTGTGTGTGTGTGTGTGTGTGTGTGTGTGTGTGTGTGTGTGTGTGATTAACCGCGTGCTAGTTGGTGGTTCTGAGAGTAAGGGGTCACTGTTAGCTGTCACTGGGCACATCAGGAAGCTGAGCCCCAGACAGGAGGCTTGTGCCAGGGAGTAGAGAACCAGGACTGTGCGGAGCTCCGCCTGGGCCTGGCCCCTCAGCTTGCTGGGATGGTCCTCGGTGCCTGTGCGAGCTGCCCCTGGGCTGTGACTGCCCGCAGGGCTCACATGTGCTCCTGTGTTGGCCCTGAACTGCCTCAGCCAGAGATGTGGGGCCTTTGAAGGCGAGAGTGTTAGCAGGTGGGGTGTGATAGGAGGTTGGGAGTACATGGAGAGGAAGGAAGGGGGTCCCAGAGTCCCAGAGGTCAGTCCTGGGGAAATGAAGACATGAGTGGGAGACTCAGACCCAGGGGTCCAGGAGAGGAACTGCTGTCCCATGAGCCGCACTGTTGCTCTTCCCAGACACTGTCCCCCAGAGCCACCTGTCTGTGTGGGGCATCACAGTGGGAAGTGCAAAAGCCGCTCTGACTTCAGAACACGAGCTTGTGGCCAGTGGGGACCCGGAAACCAAGGGGAGAGAGCGGAGTTTGTGGGGGAGGCCAGAGCAAGGTGGTTGCCTGCCCTGCCCAGGCTGTTGGGCGCCAGGATGGCTGCAGGCACTCGCTGGCACTCTCATACAGGGAGCTGCGCACCCTCTCCAGTGGGCGATCTTGGGACGCCTCTGCCAACAGGATTCTGGCCTCAGCAGAGAGGCGAGAGAGGGTTGTGTGTCCGGGATGGGGGCTATAGGTCTCTGGTTGTCTCAGCACCAGGCGGTGTGGCCATGGAAGCCAGCTCCGATGGAGAAGAGGATGCAGACAGCACGGACAAGGTCACCGAGACGGTGATGAATGGCGGCATGAAGGAGACGCTCAGCCTCACCGTGGACGCCAAGACGGAGACTGCGGTGTTCAAGAGGTAACCGGGGCGGGCTCCTGCTGGCTGTCGGTGGGCAGGAAGCGTCCAGCCGTGGAATCTAAGCGAATCCGTTGAGTGTCTAGAAGTTAGGTTGATGCCTTTGTAACAGCTGTGGGAGTGTCACTCCCCCCGGGTGATTCCAGTCTCTGCACACGGGGCCCCAGGAGCACTGTGTGTTCCAGCCTCGTTCTTTCCCGGGGAAGGTGGCGTACGGCACAGTCCTTGCGTCAGATTCTGGACAGCAGCGTGGGCACAGCTCCCAGTCAGCCCTGTGCTCGTGGCGGGAACCGCAAGTGCCGCAGGGTCATCTCTGGTTGCGCAGCCTGGCCCAGCCTCCATAGCATCATGCTGAGCCATCCCGTGAGCAGGCTGTCAGAGCTGAAGTTCGGTGGGGCTGCACGGAGGCTTGGCTGTGGCTCCTGTCAGTGAGGATGCCGGGGTGCCAGCCGAGCTCACGGAGCCGGAACAGGTGCTGCGCTGTGTGGAGAGCCCCCCACGTCTCCCCTCCCTCAGCCCTCCAGGGCCGGGACGCACCGCCCACTCCTCGCGGCCCTTGCTTGGCCAATGGTTCGGCTCCTTAGAACTGCAGAAGCCTCGCGTGGTGGAGCCAGTTAGGGCATTGTCCTGTGACCACCTGTTTGTCGCGTGGACTTGGCCACTCCCCGAGGCTGCAGCGTGGCTGCTGCGTGGCCGTGGGCCTCCTTCCCCATCGGCTCCCTCCCAGCAGCGTTCTCAAACTCTTGTCCATTTCTTTTTCTGTTTTGCACACTTGGCCTCAGAGTGTTGAAATCCTGTCGGTACGTACAGTGGCTCGCGGCGTCATTCCTCAGGCTCTAGCACACTGGGGCATTGCCCCCCGCGTCCCCACGGGTGGCCCTGGCCATTGTGACTCCTCTCTGTGTCCCCCCGAGCATGCTCAGTCCCAGGGCTTTGCTTCCGTGGCCGTCATGACCTGAGTACCATGTGCATGGGACGCCCCCGGAACCCAGTCGCGGCTCCTCAGGGTGTGACGGCTTGTCTCGCTCTTTCCCTACAGCGAGGAAGGAAAGCTCTCTACCTCTCAAGATGCTGCTGGGAAGGACGTGGAGGAGAGCCCCGAGGCCGCGGGGGCCAAGCGCGCAGCCCCCCGGCCTCCCAGTGGCAGTTCCGAGCCCAGGTAACCGCCCGTGCCCAGGTTCCCCCGGTGCCCGGCTCCAGCTTTGCCTCTCGCCTCCTGGGAGGTGGGGGGCAGGGGCGGCCATGTCCGGGTACCGGTCTTCAGCAGCCCGCTGGTTCCACAGCGTTGACTCCATCATGCATAGTCAGAGCACCCAGGCTGAGAACCTGGCCGGCAAAGCTTTCTGCTCACCACAGATGCCAAGGACGGCGTGGTAGAGTCCAGTGTCGGGTGCTGGCATTGTCTCAGCTGCTCCCACCCACCCCGGGGTCTGGGAAGTCACCCAGCTGCCAGCAGCTCTTGGGCCTTCTTGCCCATGCAGGACACGTGTGAGGGCTTACCTGGAGGCGCCTGAGCAGAAGTAGCCATGCAGTTCTCAGAGGAGTTCCCACGTGGCTGGGTGTGGCTCACCTTGCTCGTGCGTGAGAGTCCCACCCACTCCTGGTGCAGCTGCTGTCTCTGCTCATCTTTTGCTCAGACTGAGCCCGGCATCTGCAGGGCTAGGAGAGGCCCCAGAGCCCACACTGCCCGAGGACCAAGTGTGCCCCCTGACGGGTCAGCACTCCCAAAATGCTTTCTGATTTCCTATATCTCCTTGTGTGAGGAATCCGGGCCCTCGGAGCAGTTACAGAGGGGTTGTCCCCTCTCCTGGCCTCCCGTTGCACAGCATCCTAACCAGTGGTACCAGCAGGGGGCGCTCTCCCCCTTGCTACTCTAAAACCTGTGATCCCATGTACCCACCCATGTCTGCAGTACTCACACTGAACTTGTGGGCAGGGCTGGCTTTTCAGACAGTGAGGGCATGGGAGGAAGAGGCAGGCGACCTGTGGGGCCCCGGCCCAGCCCTGCTCCCTGTCTGTTCTGGGCACTGGCTGCGGGGTCGCACGGAGGGTCCCTCATTGTCCCTACCTTCCTGGCACAGCCAAGTGCCATGTCTGTGGCATTATGAAGCTTCGAAAGGCAAACCCCAAAGGCTGTTGAGCACACCCACCCTATGCTGACGCCAGGGGTCTGAGGGTTGGAGGGACACCTGTACTGGGATGGGCACGCATGGGACTGTGCTTCCAGTGGCCTGCCTGAGTGGCGTGTCCCATCCCCACTGTCAGGGCAGCAGGCCTGAACCCTTGGCCCCTGGGAGGAAGCAGCTGGAGGGGGAAGGAGTATGCTGAGTGGCACGGCATGTGGAGTTGCTGTGTTTGTGGAGTGGGACTGGCTTCATGGCTGGTGGGTGTTAGGTGGTGGTCCTCAGGGCTGGGCAGCAGGTGCTCGCACCGTCCCACTTGGAGCCTAGGTAAAGCCTTGAGTAAAACCCCCCATGTCCTGCCGGTGGTCTCAGGGAAGGCGGGCCGGGCACTGGGCCAACATGCCTGCATGCCACTCGCTCCATAGAGCCTAGCCAGCTTGCACATTGATGCCACCTTTGCCCTGAACCCCTGGCAGACCCTGTGTTTCAAGCACAGTTCTACGTGGATGCCAGTCCCTGTGTACCATGCAAGCAATGCTAAAGGAGGGCTTAGCCCTCGGTTGCTGGGGGCTTAGGGACAGCACCCCTGCTGGGGGCTTAGGGACAGTGCCTCCTGCTGGGTGCTAGCCCATGCCACTGTGCCTCACCTGCACACCAGGGCTGGTAGGAGCGAAGCCAGATTTAGCATGTCGGTCAGGCTTTGGTGTGAGTGCCTCAGCTGTGTGTCTCGCCCCCAGGCCCGAGCAGCCGAGCGTGCCAGGGGACGCGTCCGTGAATGGCCCAGTATGAGAAGGGACTTCCGCCGTTGCTGACTGAGGCTGCAGCATCCTGGGTCCCAGAGGCCGCCAGGCCCCGCCGCGCCACTGCACGCACCCGCGCGCGGCCAGGACCAGCAGTCCCTCCACTCTAGACTCAGACTGCAGAGAAACTGAGACGTGTAAAAATGTTGCACATTGACAAATACCAAGAATTTTTGCGTATGTTTATATTGTATTGTTCTAAATGATGGGTAGCCTGTGAAATAAGATCTTGCCACCCATGTAATAATAGTAGTACTCTATAGTCAGAATGGCTGTAAGAATAGTTTTATAAAAGTGAATACACAGATGTATTGTATTTGGAAGCATAACTATTTGACAATTATTAGTGTGACCAAAGTATTAGCAATTTTCATACATTTTTCACCTTGTACAAAATTCTGAATCCATTTTTCTTCCAGGCTGGCACGGACTTGGAATTGAAGCACCTCAAAGTGTTATTTTGGTTGTTCTAACTTACAGGACTGATTGGGAATAAGAAATATTTGGTGTTCTTTTTATAACCAGTTTTTGATTGGTAATTGTTTTCTGTTTCGTTTAAAACGGATCACAATGTCATTCTGTTGCTGGAGGTGAGGTATTTATTGCTGCGGCTTAGTTTGGGTGGACGTGGCTGGCCAGCCGTGTGTCTGCTCGGTCTCCTCGCCGGGACGGCGGGCGTGCAGGGCTTGTGGTTGGCTTTCTGGTCTCCTCGCCGGGACGGCGGGCGTGCAGGGCTTGTGGTTGGCTTTCTTTGCTTTCTTGGTTTTGTTTTGTTCTGCTAGCTCTTCTGCCCATCACCTGCTTGCCACAGTCTCCTGTCACCAGGGTCGCTGGAGACGGTTTCAGAGCAGCCCGCAGGCCGGCCCCATGCCGAGGCCAGGGTCGGGCGGGGCAGCACAGGACAGCCCCGTGCCAAGGCCAGGGTGGGACGGGCAGTGCAGACCGGCCCCATGCCAAGGCCAGGGTTGGACGGAGCAGTGCCGGCTGGTCCCATTCCAAGGCCAGGGTCGGATGGAGCAGTGCCGGCTGGTCCCGTTCCAAGGCCAGGGTCGGACGGGCAGTGCAGACCGGCCCCTGGAGGCCTGCCGGCCAGCCCCATGCCAAGGCCAGGGACGGGCAGTGCAGGCCGGCCCCATGCCAAGGCCAGGGTTGGACGGGCAGTGCAGACCGGCACCGAGTGTGTTACCTGTTCTACCGTCCCTCGTGAGGTTTTCACTCAAAAATTCGAAGCCGGTGTATTTTTGTAGAGCTGGTTTGTGTGTATATATATAGTGATTATGGATACTAATTCAGTGTAATTTATAATTTTCTATGTCTGTAGCAGCGCGTCGCAGTCTCTGACAGCTGAAGCAATACGCCGTTCCTCCCTTCTGGTGGAGGGTCAGTCACTTCCCCCTTGCACCGTAGATGCAAGCCAGGTTTTCATTTCTGTCACACAAGGTTACCCTCGTCTTTTTACATCACCGTCTCTCCTGACCAGTATTGAAAACCAAAAGGATATTTGGAAAAATGGCCAACAGTTTTTTTTTTAGAAATAGCATCCCAAGCAGCGTGCCTAAACACGACATTGCATATGGAAATAAAAGAGTCAAATGTATAATGCCTTATTTCTTATTGACTTTCTCATCCTAAGTGGTGTGCAAACTGGGCGTGCTCCCCGAGGACCGCGGAGGCCACAGCAAGTCCCGGGACACAGCAGGGGTGCAGCCTGCTCCCGCCTTCGCAGGACGCCTCCCGAAGACACCATCCTGGGTGCCTCCTCAGGAACCGGCGCCTCCCGCTCGCTCCAGGGCCGCCCTTGGGTGGTGCTTGGCCCTGCTAGCCGGACGTGTCAGGGAATGGCGCTGGGCAGGGTGGCACTCCACCCGAAGGTCAGGGCCAGCAGCGTCTTGTTCCGTTCTGACTGCAGCCCCCGTCAGCCTTGCTGAGCTGCAGGCCTGGCCGATGACTGCAGTGCAGTACCTGTGTTGAAGAGAACAGCAAAATAAAACCTGGTTCTGTTTCTAGTAGCCTTCTCTCGTCCCTTGCTTGGGTCCTCAACCAGCCGGGGCGCCGGGGCGGGGAAGGAGGCACCCTGCCCTGTGTCGGGGGTGACAGTCTGCGGCCCGGGGTCCATCTGCCCCCTCCCCCGGCTCCCCACAGTTACCCTGGGAGTCCCCGACACCTGCTGAGATGTGCCGCCCAATCTCCCCTCTGCCTCCATCAATGCTGCCAACCCATCAGGCCTCCCCCGGCCCTGCTGCCCTCAGCTGAGAAACAGGAAAGTTCATGGAGCTGAAAGGTCTGGATTTCTCATGTGCAATTTACACCTTTTACAGGATGCAAATAAAGAAAACACCATTGTTAGGTCACATTGCCCACATCACATGTACAAGAGTACCTGGACACGGGGTGTGGGTGTCTTCCCTCTGTGTGGGAACCCTGCCAGGGGTGCCTGGGGTGGACCCCGGCCTTGGGGTGCCAGAGTAAACACAGTGGAAATTGCCTATAATCACTTTGAAAAAGATTTACTTAGTTGAAGGGCAGATTTACACAGAGACGGGGAGATCTGTGTGTTAATCCGCTCCCCAAACAGCTGCAGTGGCTGGAAGTGGGTCAGTGTGAAGCCAGGAGCCTCTTCGGGTATCCCACACGGGTACAGGTCCCAAGGCTTTGGGCCGTCCTCTGCTGTCTTTCCAGGCCACAAGCAGGGAGCTGGATGGGAAGTGGAGCAGCCGGGACTAGAACTGGTGTCCCTATGGGAGGCCACTGCTGCAGACGACATACTGGCCCCACAAGTGTACTTGAATGGGAGAAGTATTACTAGGGCCAAACGCAGACGTTTGTGCCACAGAGACCAGTCCCCCGAGTGTTGGAAGATGTGACAATGCCATGGACATGGCCTCAGACCAGTCTGACGGATCTAAGGCAGGGACATCTTGGGGCTCGGCCACCTCTGGTGGGGTGTGGAAGGATGCACACACCTAGGACATCAGTTATCTGAGTCGTACCTCAGTGACGGGGACCTTCTGTCTCTAGCCCAAGTCACATTGGAAATGTAGAAACATCCCCAGACGCTCCTCGCCCAAGCAGAAGCTACCAGCCATCCCTGAAGCCGACACAGGGCAGCCAGGAGCCATGGCTGCGAAGGCGTGCCTGCTGGCGTCTCAAGGACCAGTACCAGATCGGGATGGGATCCAGCAGCTTACCTGGGCAGGCACAGCAGTCCGGCATCCTGGGTGAAGGAAGAAGTAATTTCTCGAGAGGCGGAGCCAAGCCTCCAGCCGAGAGGCGCTGGACCTTCCCAGTGCTCAGGGCAGCACCTGGGGTCTGGATGGTGACCATGGCCTTGGAAAGCAAAGTACCAAAAAAAATCACCAGACGCAGCAGAAAGCAATCAACTCCCGGGGCAGAAAGAGCTTTGGATGAGAAGGGCTCGGGTCCCACTTCCGGGGAGGTTTATTGGTGTGGATCCTGTCCCCAGACACGCAGGGTCCGGCCACCTATGCTGTCCCACTCCACCCAGGAAACGGGTCCACGCCAGCGGAGCGTCCTGGGTGAGAGCCGATAGAAGGTCCTCCGCTGCTCTTGCTGTGCAGCCGCCCGTGGACCGGGAAGGCGGCAGAGGATGGCCGCCCGTGAGGAGACTCGCGTGCAGTTGGTCTCCCGGTTTCAGCTTGGCCCAGTTGTAGTTGTAGCGGCTGTTTGGAGAGTGAGGCAATAGATGGAAGATCTTGTTCTCTGCCTTTCAAGCAAGAAACCCAGCTATAGCTAACTGCCTGGCTCCACTGCTGGCAGAAAAGCAGGCAGTAGCTGGTTGGCATTTGCGGGCTGGTTCCTGCAGCTCTGCGTTAACTATGCCAGTGTAGTCTGTTACAGAGGGTGGGGGTGGGCCACCTTGGGTTTGTCAGAGTCCTTGGGCCACTGAGAACCTTTGATGGCGTGGGCTCCCTGGGCCGGCTGCGGCACCTGCTGTGTGGAAGGCCCAGCAGTGACGTCACTGTCAGCGAGCGGCACGTCCTTCCGCCTCATGCTGGCTTCGGACACGTCAGCATCTCTCGGGGACCAGAGCCTGAGGGCGTGTGGTCTGGCCTCGGCCACCCACGGCATGATCAGGACACCCGTGGACTCTTGTGCCAAGAAGCCAGCTGCTCAGAGCAAGGCTGAAGCCGCAGGGACACCGGCGCCTAGTGGATGTTCTCCGGCCCACGGGGGATGCGTCGGACGGGAGAGGGCTCCGAGCCCCGGGCGGCCAGCGGAAAGTAAGAGCAGGAGGTGTGGGGCATCCGTGCCCTGTGGCAACCCTGACCTGGAGCTGGAGACCCCTGAGGGCGGAATGAAACGGGACGGGAGGCAGCCAGCTCAGCCTGCTCACCGACACATCTATCAACCAACAGAGCGACCCCTCCTCCAGACCTGCTTCCCCTCGGGCAGATGTCACAAAACCACCCCGCTTCCTGAGACCACAGAAAGTGTTAAAAATTTTAAGAAAATAAATCATTTTTAGAGAAGTTAAAAAAAAATAGGGCCAAGCACAATAGCCTACTGGTTAAAGTCCTTGCCTTGGCGCACGCTGGGATCCCAATGGGAGCTGGCTTGTATCCCGGCGGCCCCACTTCCCATCCAGCTCCCTGCCTGTAGCCTGGGAAAGCAGTCGAGGACGACCCAGGGCCTTGGGACTCTGCACCCACGTGGGAGACCTGGAAGAAGCTCCTGGCTCCTGGCTTTGGATGGGCTCAGCTCCGGCCATTGTGGCCACTTGGGGAGTGAATCTGAATGGAAGATCTTCCTCTCTGTCTCTCCTTCTCTCTGTATATCTGACTTTGCAACAACAACAACAAAAACAGGCCCAAGTAATATGCCTGAACAGCTCAGGGACAGAAAGGAAGACAGGAAATGGTTTCCATGCCCACAGAAACAGAATGACAAAGAGGTGAGGAGTCCGGAAGCTAAGCTTTTAAAAGGGAAGCTGTGAAAGGGCCCCCTGGGGATCCGCTGCAGAGAGGGCTTGGGCCAGAGCCCCACTGAGCCGAGCCTGGAAGGGTTTCAGGAGCTGTTGTGGGGCCTGAGAGGGCTGTTTGATTCAGGGACAGTCAGCGTGTTCTCCTGGACACAACCCGACGTCCTGGAAGACCGTGGGGGTCAGTGAGGGCAGCGGCCACAGGTGTCCAGCCCCTGTTCCCAGCAGCCAGAGACTGGGGGCACAGCCTGGTGGTGGAGTGGGTGCAGGCCGGTGTCGGGCCCCGCCACAGTGACTGGACGGGGCTTGGACGGTGGCCGGGCCAGAGCAGGATTCCCGGGCAGCAGGCGGGCAGCAGCGCTGCCCTCAGGTGCCCATGACTCAGCCCCTTAATGCTGTTGCTGTGAATTAGCGCAATTAGCACAGGCGATCTGAGCTGGGATGGCGTGACTTTAATTATCCCAGGCAGTTTGTGGAAGAGGGGGGAGCGTTTCCAAAGAGGCTGTGGCCCCTTGGGAATTAATCAGAACCATCTCCGCTGCCAGAGATGCAGGGAGATTAAAAATAAATCAATCAATCCAGGTG